AAACCTCTCCTCTCCCCATCCACTTGCCCTTCCTGCCTGTCTGTGCCCGGGGAGTGGGGGAGGGGCCCAGCTCCCAGGAGCCCCACGCTGACGCCGTCAGGAATATTGGGTTTAATGAGCTGCAAAATGAGGCGGCTGCAGCTGACATGTACGGATGGTGCCCACGCCCGCCTCCCCCACCCTCTCCCAGCATTGCCTCCGAGCACCCCATCACGTCCTCCAGATACTGAGCTCTTCTTGCTCCAGGGAGCACCCTGATGTCCAGACCCGTTGCTGGCAGTGCCCGCGATGCCGGCACCTTGCGCCCCCATCTGTTGTCACTCAGACTCCACAGGTGGTTAGCGTGGAGGGGCGAGGCTCCACACTACTGCTGGTTCACTCCCTCCGCCCTGCAAGTCGCCCTGGAGAGCGTGGCCCTTGAGGCTGGCGTGGGGGGAGGGTGGGTGCCAGGAGAGTAGGGGTGAGTGGAGCTGTGGCGGTGGCATGTCTGGGCGTGCCTGCCGAGGTGCCTGCTGCGATGGTGGTAAATGCTCTGCCCCCCACAGAGGCGGAGGAGTCCTTTGAGTTTGTGGTGGTGTCCCTCACTGGGCAGACGTGGCACTTCGAGGCCTCCACAGCAGAGGAGCGGGAGCTGTGGGTGCAGAGCGTGCAGGCTCAGATCCTCGCCAGTCTGCAGGGCTGCCGCAGCGCCAAGGACAAGGTTGGTTGGCATGGAGGCCTGCGTGGGGTGGGACCCAGAGGTGGCCCCATGACTGACCAGCCACCCCTTGTCTCTCCCGCGGTTGCAGACTCGACTGGGGAACCAGAATACAGCTCTGGCCGTGCAGGCCGTCCGCACCGTTCGTGGCAACAGCTTCTGTATCGACTGCGACGCCCCCAGTAAGTGGCAGGGCCGAGGCGGTCAGGACCAGGCTTGAGGGCGGCTTAGAGAAAGCTCCCCAAGTTCGGCAGAGAGAGCGTGACAAGAAGCTTCCAGTAGGCCTGGGAGGAGGGCGGGGAGGGGGACGACTCTTCTTGTGGTCTCACCGGTGGCCCGTGGGCTTCCCTGTGCTTCCTCCCCTTGCCTAGATCCAGACTGGGCCAGCCTGAACCTCGGCGCCCTGATGTGCATTGAGTGCTCAGGGACCCACCGACATCTGGGGGCTCACTTGTCCCGGGTTCGTTCCCTTGACCTCGATGACTGGCCACCAGAGCTGCTGGCTGTCATGACCGCCATGGGCAATGCGCTGGCCAATAGCGTCTGGGAGGGGGCCCTGGATGGCTACGTAAAGCCAGGCCCTGACGCCTGCAGGTGAGCGGATGGGACTCTGAGGCTGGCCAGGAAGGGTGGGGACATCGGTGTTCCTCCATGGGGAAGACTGGGGATGGTGCCGAGTGGCCGTGACAGTGCCAGAAGGGTTAAAACGGGCCGCTGCTGTGTCGGCCCCCTTGGGGTTCCCTTCCCCCTCCCTGCCTGTCACTCAGGCGCCTCACAACAACAGGCCCTTTCTGAGTCGTTATCAGCAGGTCAGGGGGCCAGCAGGAGGCGCATGCGCAGGGCCCTATCTGCACTGTGGTGCGAAGGCCCCAGCCTGCGCTCGGAGATGGGGAGAATGGGCGGTAGATAGGGTAGTGGTGGGGCCCCAGCACAGGCTCCCACCCCCTTTGTTCTAGCAGGGCCAGATAAGCTGCCACACGAGCCCTGCCTGGAATCTTCCTCTGCCCTTGCGGCCCCTACATCCCTGCTGCCCCCGGGGGCCTCCCTTCAGCGTTCCTTCCTTTCAGCTTCTTCCGCACCCTTTGCATTGCCCGCTGTGTGTCCCTCCGTCTGCCCTCTCTCTCCTAGGCTTCTCTTTTCTCTGCCCTAACGCTTTCTCCTACTATTTCTTCCTTATTCTCCTTTGGGTGTTTATGTTGTTTCCTGACCACCGTCCCCGGCCCTGCCCGTCCTCGCTTATGCCTCGATGCACCTGTGCTTTCAGAGAGGAGAAGGAGCGCTGGATACGGGCCAAGTACGAACAGAAGCTATTCCTGGCCCCACTGCCGAGCTCGGATGTGCCACTGGGGCAGCAGCTGCTCCGGGCTGTGGTGGAGGACGACCTGCGGCTGCTGGTGATGCTTCTGGCACACGGGTCCAAGGAGGAAGTGAACGAGACCTACGGGGATGGGGACGGGCGCACAGCTCTGCATCTGTCCAGTGCCATGGCCAACGTCGTCTTTACACAGCTGCTCATCTGGGTGAGTCCTGGGCTCCCTCCCTGCCTTCCCAGCCCCACCCTTGCAGGCTCCTCTGATCTGCCTTGACACCCTTTATACCTCAGCCCTTTGAAAGCCGCCTCTCCTTTTCTCCCCGAGAACCCAGCTTTCCCGCCACATCATGCCAACTGTGAAAATGTGCTTTTTTTCTGCAGTATGGGGTGGACGTGAGGAGCCGGGACGCCCGGGGCCTGACTCCGCTGGCCTACGCGCGCCGGGCGGGCAGCCAGGAGTGTGCAGACATCCTGATCCAGCACGGCTGCCCCGGAGAGGGCTGCGGCCTAACCCCCACCCCCAACAGAGAGCCTGCCAATGGCACCAGTGCCTCTGCTGAGCTGCACCGAAGTCCGAGCCTCCTATGAGGCCCAGGACGAGGGCAGAAGGGCTCCATACCCTGGGAACTTCCCCCCACAGGTGCTGGGGGGAACAAAGGCACAGAGACTGTGTACTAGGGACACACAGAAAGGAAGAGGGAGAAGAAACCGGAAGAAGAGCTGAATGATCTGAGATGGATCAGAGGCGTCTGGGGTTCGAACTGCAGCAGCGACGGACTGGAGCTATGCAGCCTTCTGCCCTGTGATGCCACTGAGAAGGGACAGGACCCTTTGGAGGTACCTGTGAGGAGAGGGGAGCAGGACCTCTCCCTCCTCCAGATTCCAACCCTCTAGTGCCAGCCCCCTGCGAACCTTCATCCCAAACTGGAGCGTGGATAGGACACAGGTTGGGGGTGCTGGAAGACAAGGGGGTGATCTGTGAGTCCCATGTAAATTTGTACATTGGAATATTTATGTTTGTGTACATACTTGGTGTGCGTGTATGATGAGCCAATAAACCAGACTGTGTGTGGCCCTGTTTCCCGCTTCTGCAGCCACCCTTCCCAAAGTGCCCTCACCTCGGCCCCTTAGTCCTGTCTTCTCCCTTTTGCTCTCTGTACGGAAGGAGTGTTTCGCCTCTCGTTCAGTCTGAGGCCTGCTAGCTTTCCTCAGCCTTCCTTGTGCTGCTTTTTCAGCCCGCCCAGCCCTCTCTTGCCAGGGGTGTAGTTGAGTTTTGTCGGCAGCCAGGAGGCAATGTGGAGCTCTGGAAGCTTCCTGCTGCCTTTTCTACTCACACCTGCAATCCCCAAAACTTCCCCAGCTAGTCTTATTTTCATCGCTATTCTATGTAGTAACTCCTGCCATGTCCTGTACTGGCCAAAGTTCACCCGCAGGGAGGGCGTAAGCATTGCCCCCCTTCCTAAGAGCCTGGGAGCTAGCCCACACGGCCAGGTGCACCGGGAAGCACGCGCGTCAGTGCGCGGGGGGCGACTAGGTGCTCGTTAGGGCGCCCCCTGAGTCACGCCTGGGCTTTGCTTTTGAAGAAGGGGGAGGCAGTAGGTCACTGACAGCGGAATCCAGAGCCCCTGCTTCCCCCTCTGTCCCTTAGTTATGCTAGAAAGAAGACCATGGGGAAACCCCTCTGTACCTATTCTTGAAAGGTGAGAACTTGGTAAGTCAGGGCCCCAAACTTTGTCCACTAATGTTGTTCGCTAATTTGCTCATAAAATTCCAACCTCCATAGCTTCCCCCCCCCAGTACATACCCTTCTAGAACCATCACAGATTCTTTCCTGCCTCCTCCATTCTGCAGTGGGCCTTTTCAACCAATCTCATTTTATAACAGAAGAGGATTTGGTATCTCAAGCTTCATAAATGCTGTGATGGGGAGAAGGAGAGACCACAATTAATGCCATAAGAAACAGCTGGAAATGTGTCTTTTACTCCAGGACCTCGCGCGGGTACCAAACAGTGGCAGAGCTGCACTAAGCTCCCATGTCCTCTGCAAGGACAAAGGTTAACGAGCTCACAGGTGATTAGAGTGAGCCCCCAGCTTGCCCCAGTCACTAACAAGCTGCCGCCTACCTAGTTAGGGCCTGGACGCACCCAAGCTATACTAGGGCCAAGTATTCATTTCCCCTCATGATACCATGGGAGTGAACCCCCTATCCTGAAGTCTGCCAACTCTTCCAAAGAGAAGAAAGCAGAGATGGCGAAGCTTTCCTGTTTAATGGGTAAAGAGAAGAGTGCTGTGTTAGGAGCAGAAGGTGTAGAGGTGCGCGGGGCAGGGGCAAGCCCCAGGCTGGGGACGGACAGACGTGGAGGTAGTTTACATGGGAATAGATGGTGTGCACTGAGCAGTTTCTAAGGAGGCTAGTGATGGTTCCATTTTGTTTCTTTGCATGTCCTTGTATTATAGACAGACGGGGCAGTAACTACTCCAGGGAAGTAATGGAGCTAAACTCTGGCTGAGGACGGAGGAGACAAAACTTTCCCAAGCGCTCTCAAGGGTGAAGACAGACAGAGGCAGATAGATCCATATATACAAACTTTACACAAAATAAATAAGGAGCTGTGATCAGCTTGGCTGGCCCTCACCCTGGATTCCTCCCGCCACTGTCAGAAGTGATTCCAGGAACCCTTCAGGCCCTAGGCATTTTAGAACCCACCCCCTTCCCAGCAGTCCGCCTCAGTCCCAGCAGCTCCTGGGCAAGGAGAACCCAAGCCCCTTGGACCCTGAGGCCCCAGTCCTGAGGGCCTCTGGTAATAGGCTCAGGGCCAAGCGCCCGCGGCGCAGGCGGCCAGGGGAGCACCCCTGCAGCGAGTGACTTGCCAGCGGAGCCCGCTGCGGGGCGGAATCACAGTGGTAGCCCCTGCGGCCGCAGACCCTAACCCAGTCTCAGAGCAGGCTGAGGAATGGGTCCTTTGCCTCCCCAAGTCCTTCGGGTCCCCTTCAGGGCCGGGCCCCCTGTTCCATTTGTTGGTGCTGGCTCCGCACAGCGAACCTGTTGACATGCACAGGTATGGGCACGACAATCTTGGGGTTTCTGACGGGCTCTCCAGAGCGGCTGCTGACATTGCCAGCTTTGATGCGCTTCCACTTGGCCCTCCGATTCTGAAACCAGATCTTGACCTGCACCTCGCTGAGCTTGAGGGCATGGGCGATCTGGGAACGCTCTGTCAAGCTCAGGTATTTCTTGCAATGAAACTCCTTCTCCAATTCCAAAAGCTGTTCACTGGTAAATGCTGTGCGGCGCCTTCGGCTTTTGCCCCCAGGAGCTGTGACTCCTGCTGCCACTGGGGCTGCCTCCTCGGCTCCAGTCCCCAGGCTTCCCTTTAGCTTCGGCTTAGGTCCCAGGAGAACCCCCGGACCCCCGGCAGAACTGTCCAGGAAACCGTCGTCCTCACTGTCACCGCCCGAGCCCTCTTCCTCCTGCTCGCTGCCTGCTGGGTCTCTTGCTGGCGCCTCCAGCTTCTCCTCATCGGAGCTGTACACCTTCCCCTCTGTGGGGAATGAAAACCAACGGGACAGGGAGGGAATGGGCGGGAGAAGTCAGGTTGGAGGAGGCACATGGGACCACGACCAGGCATGGCCAGAACGGCAGCAGGAAGAGACAGGTGTGGAGGGAGGAGACAGCACATCCAGGGTGAGGGGTGGGGAAGAGGGTTAGGGAAGACAAAGAAATGGGAAGAAAGGTATTAACCAGCACAGATTTTACTACAGCAAAGCGAGGCAGGCAACAAGTGTCTATCAGAGGAACACCGTTCCCAGCACTGCGTCCCTTCAGCACCCCCACACCCCACCTCATTCTGCCGACCCCACTACCTTCCCAGCTTTCTCCAAACCCGGACCATGCGGCCCCAGGCCCCAGAGGGGAGCAGAGTGGGACCTGGCCTAGGGTCCTCTCCCTTACTGTGACAAGAATGAGCAATATAGGGGAATTTACTTTTGCAGGATGGGGGGCGGGTGGGGAGGCTGTCAGTTCGTTACTCTCCTAGGAACCCTAACTGGACCCAGTGGAAAGACCTGTGTGGGGACTGGACCTCTCTTCTGTCTCCGCTCCTTCCCTCTTCCTTAGGTCTAGAATCTAGAATCTTGTTTCCAGATGGGAACTTCACGGTCATCTGATTCCTCATCCTCACCCCAAAATCTGGGCCCGAGAAATATTATCCAACGACCTGGGAGTCAGGTGTCCTTACTGTACCCCCTTCTCAATTCTCCTGAACCAGATAATCTAGCCTACAACTGGGACCCCTCCCAGCCACATGTCACCTTATCAGTGACCAGATTTTTCTTCCAATTAGCCCTCTTAGGTCCCTTTTAGTCCTTCTCCTTATTTGAAAACGATGCTGTCATTTTCCCACCTTCCCTCTTTCCCAGTTAAGGTTGCTGAGCAGCAGAAACAGCTGCTTTCTGCTCCAGTTCAGAATCCTGAGGACCCTGAGCTTGATGTCAGCTGGGAACATGGAGGGAATATGGGAAGAAATAGAAATGCAACAAGGGAAAATATAGATGGTGAAAAAAAAAAATGACTCATTTAGTAGATTACTACTGATTATTTGTAATCACAGCCATATAAACATTTTAACCCATACATAATTCTAAAATTCAATTCAACCAGTGGTTTTATTCTTAACCACTGATACTTTCATTCTTCTTATAACTGCAAATAATGCATTACAAATGTTTACAGCATTTAAGTTTTACAAAATCCCTCGTTTTCTGCCCAAAGGACCAATAAAGAGTGAAACAACAACAACAAAAATCAGAAGAAAACCAACCAACCGGAAAGAGAAGAGGAAATGAATAATCTGTAAACTAACAGCTCCTTACCAACAGAATTCAATGTGTAAAGGTTGGGGGGACTTCACAAATGTGGGAGTACATTTATCTACACCTACCACATGTCACATGTACACTCATAAGCTCACTCCAAGGTTGAGAATACAACCTAAAGTAAAAAAAAAAACCAAAAAACCTTAAGGGAACAGTGAAATGCTTTATAAGAAAAAAAGGTGTGCACACGTACACGTGGCTAGAATACCTCCCACACGCGGGGCTTCCCGGCCGCTCCTCTCTGACCTCCCTGTCTGCCGTCGTGCCAGCATGAACTTCTCAGGGCCTCCAGGACCAGTCCAGTAACTTTCAATCTGGTTCCCCACCCCAGGGTTGACCCTTCCCCGCGCTGATGCAATCTACGCCTGCTCCTTTTCCTCAAGAGCCACACTGACATTGTCCTTAGAGGCCAGAATCTGGGCCCATACCCATCTCTCCCACCTCCACCTCAATAAGCTGCTTCACACCTCGGGTTATTTTTATCCCACAGGCCAGTGCCTTTTCTCCCTGTAGTGCTTCATTCTTTAACCTCAGAATGCACAGGGCACACCCCGGGTGAGGCTCAGCCCGCCTGCCCATGCGACTCTTACTCACGGCTTCCCACGAACAAGTGGTCTGCATTCTCCAACAGCTGGCCACGCTTCAGGAGCACCCGGCTCCGCGTGCCTCACGACACTCGCCTCTCACCACTCCACGCTCTCTCCCTTACCTCTTCCCTAGCCAAACCCACTTTATTTTCTGCAAGATTCACATCCTTGTGTTCCTCCTTCATTTCATTAAGGGCTTCCTCACATCACTTTCGACTTTCCTCTTCCAGACCATAAAACCTTAAACACGTCCCAAACTGAACTCTGTCTCCCAAGCTAGTTCAAACCAAATCTTTGCTTTCTCTCACAACCCATGTCCAATCCACCAGCAAGTCCTAGTCGTGCTGCTGCCGCCGCCTGTAAAATACACCAGGGCACTGACCTCTTCTTACCACCTCCCCCGTACCCAGCTGGTCCAGGTCACCACCGTCCCTCCCCGGCTCATCAACATTTCCTCCCCGCTGGTCCCCCTGCCCCGCCCCGCGCCCTCCCCCAGGTCCTTCTTTCTGGAATACTTTACATGCTCATCACCTAGAGTTTTGCACTTGCTCATTTCCTATCTCTAACACCCTTTTAAAAGTAAAAGTCCCAATACTCCCGACACGTTGCTTTATTTGTTGCTATCACCAACCATATTCATTTTTTAAATTGGTTCTCTCTTCCTGTTAGAATATAAACACTATGAAGGTAGAGACTGTTAATATATTTTTTTCACTGCTGTACCTTCAGCATCTAGGAAATTACCTGCATAGAGTAGGCACTCTATAAATATTTGTGACTAAATAAACTATTCCCAAGCTCGCTCTCCCTCTCCTTCCTTTCCCAAGCCTCTCCTAAGATAGTCCCCATGACCCTACCCCATCCCAGCTCCAGTGCCCATACAACATCCTCTTCATGAATATTATCTTATCCACTTCTCAGATGTCTTCAGATCTCACAGTAGCTGGAGAGAACCCCATGTGGAGTGTGAACTTAGAGGCTCTTAGGCTAAAAGAAATGAACAATCTCCAACATCATTACTAAATCCTTTAACTTTTAATTTTTAAGATAGGGTTTGTAGTAAATAACAATAGAAAAAACGACAAAACCTTGTGAAAACTCTGCCCAATATTACTGTATCTTAAACGGCTACTAAAAAGACAGAAACTGGATTTTAGGTCTTGAAGGATGAAATCATTTAGTACAGCTCCAAGTACCCAAGGGGTGTACAATAAATCTAAATTGATGATGATGGAGGTGAGGCTCCCAGGTTCCTTGATCTGCCAGGGCCCTCCCGAGATCACATCATCCATCCGTCTGTCTTCAGACAGATTCCATAAAATCAAGCCCCCATAAGCGGGCCACCACCCTCAGTGCTGCTTTTAAAGCCAGACAAGAAGCACAGGTTCACAACCTCTCTTGGTTACTTGGTCCCAGTGGGACGCTGAACGGCAGGGGCAAGACATTGAGGGCTCTGATAAGCAACTCTTAGAAGGAGATGGGGGTGGGGCAAAGAAGAAAGCAGCTGAGAAGGGAAAATACAGCTACATAAGAGTCTGGGACAGTGAGAATGTGAAGAAGTGGGAGAAGGAAAGCAGGCGGAAATAGGAGCAGGACAAGAAAGAAGCAGGGTAGACATAGTGGCAGGAGAATTAAACCATGAGTCAGAGAAACCGAAAGAGCTAAACAGTTTAGAGAAGAAAGAAAAAACAGCAAAAAGCTTAATTAATTAATTAATTTGTGTTTGCCCTACCTTTTTTACCCAAGCATGGATGCACCTGGAGCACAGCAAAACATTTTGGCCCTGCCATTTACTCTTTGCCAGTGGAGCACGTTAGAATGCGATACCCAAAGTGATGGAAACATATTCCAAAGAATTGGAGGAGCAATATAGTAGCTCAATCCTTGACAGTACAGCAACCCTGAAACAGCTTGCTATTTTTCATGGGTTAGCAAAGAAATAAATGCAAACTATTTCTTTTAATGCAATTTATAATGAATATTAATGGTAAATATAATCAAACACAAAGAAAATTGTATATAGATAACTGTATTGACTAAAAATTGACAGAAGCAAAATCTTTTTGACAAACTTTCCATTTGCAAAATTTGATTTAGAATAATTGAACTTGTTAGATATAAAGTCCATGAAAGTAGAACAAGCAGATGCTATAACTGCTTGATGCGAACAAAAACAAAAACAAAAACAAAAATAAAAAACTTCATCAACAAAACAAAACTTTACTGAAAATTTTACATCGGAAATAATGATTCTGATGAGAATAACTTCAGCACAAGAAAACCTTTAAATTGAAAATGATTTGACTGTGCTAGGTAGGTAAGCCAAACAGATAGAAAGGTTCTGTCCTTTGTGTGTGAAAATGTTATTACTGGTAATAGAAGAGTATATTGCATTTTCAACTTGTTCCCTATGGGCAAGTCTAAAGTCTTTGAAAAACGTTTGGTGTCTGTCCAGGGGGAATAATTGTGTGGCAGATTGGTTAGCAGGATACATCCAGAGTTCGTGTGAATCCTCCTGGTGGATGCTACATCCTAAGAACCAGCAATCTGTGCCAGGGCATTAATCCCACCTCAGAGAGCAGAGCTCGGGCTGCAGGAATGCACTTGCAAGGGGCCTTCCTTCCAAGAGGAAGGGAAGCAGCTCCAGAGATAGAGAAGCCCCACCCTGGTAATGCGTCCAGTCAGGCCGAAGAAGAAATCAAGGTCAAAGAACCCATGATAGGTATTTTCCAGGAGAAATATCATCAACAAATCAACAAACAACAAGTGCTGGTGAGGATGTGGAGAAAAGGGCAACTGTCGGTGGGAATGCAGAGTGGTGAAGCCGCTGTGGACAGCAGTATGGAGACACCTCAAAAAATTAAAAATGTGTCTGCCTTTTTTGACACCAGCGATCCTACTTCTAGGAATATATCCGAAGAAACCAAAAACACTAATTTGAAAGAACACAAGCATCCCTATGTACATGGCAGCGTTACTTACAATCAGCAAGACATGGAAGCAGCCCAAGTATCTATCAGTAGATGAGCAGATAAAACAACTACGGGACATTTATACAATGGAACACTACTCGGCCATAAAAAAGAAAATTTTACCCTTTGCAACAGCATGGATGGACCTGGAGAATCTTGTGCTAAATGAAATAAGCCAGTCAGAGAAAGATAAAACACCATATGATTTCACGCATATGTGGAACCTAATGAACAAACTGAGCGAACGAGGAGAACAGACACAGAATCACAGAGGGCAGGGTGACCGCTCTGTGGGAGGGAGGTTAGGGGGCAGAGGGGTTGAGCAAGAAGGAAAACGCATTCATGGACATGGACAACACAGTGTGGTGATTGCAGAGGGAAGAGGGATATAAAGGGTTACGCGGTAATGGAAAAATTCCAATAAAAAATGCGAATTAACAGCACCGGGCTTGCGCCATCTAGAGGGGGAATCCCACAATCATGGTCACCAAGGACGACGGGCCTGAGTCTCGGCCCAGAAAACCGCCCAGGGAGTGGAGAACCATTTCAGATCCCAGCGACAGGAGCTCACAGGGCCCTGTGCTGTCCCGCATCCACCTGTCCTGGCTTACAGTTCTATCTCAGTGCTCATCGCCTTCAGAACTCGTCAAACCCTGTATTCGTCACGTATTGATGAGGAAAAAAAAAAAAAACGTTTCAGCACTCGGCGCTTGCTTGGGACTTGTCACACTTGCTAGAACTTGTATGAGTCACAACGCTGTCCCACAAGAGAAAATGCCCCGGCACTCCTCACTTGCTCGGTACTCATCGGTTTCGGCACTCATCACGCGTTCCAGAACGAGTTAACGGAGTACTGAGGCGCCACTGTCCATCAAATCAACAGTCTTTATTATCCACGGAAGAGAGGTCTCTCCCCAGCTCACTCAGCTCTGACCTCTCTTCCTTCTGCTTCAAAGACAACTACCCTCACACCCCCCACCACCCACAGGACACCAAGTCTCCTGACCCTACAGACCAGGTCAACTCTTCGGCTTCCTGAGTACAGAACCAATGGGGCAGGGGTGTCCAAAGGTGGGAGACACCCAGGTCATCCTTCAAAACAGGGGTGTGTTTGCCACCACTCTCATTTCTAAATCCTCACCTCATCATCATGCCAGTACAGAATTATAGCTCTGTTCTTTTCAAAGACGGTACTTCCTCCCTACAGCAACGAGCTCACTTTCAATTTGTTTCTCACTCGCCCCGTCCATTTTATGCTCCCGCTATGCTATGACTCCTTCCTATAATTTGGGTACCCTAAGGAAAACTCTCTTGTTCGCGTGCTCGCTCTATTCTTCCCTTTACTCTTCAGCATTCTTGACTCCAGATTGCCGTGAGAATTTTCTCTACATCTTGACCTTCTGGAGCCCCTCCCACCTTCCTGACAAGTTCAGGGCAAATTCCCCACCACGCCACGCTCAGAGCTCCTCTCCCAGCTAATGTTAGTCACTGCCAAGAGCACCTTAGCTTTCCAAAACACTTCCACATGTATTATTTTATCTTCAAGCAACTCACTGAAGTGGAGTTGAACCTATTATTATTAGTAATGGGAGGTTAGTAACCTTATTTTCAAGTGAAAACACGGAGTTTCAGAAAAATTTAATGATTTTCCTAAGTTACACAGCTAGGGACAGAGCCATAACTAAACCTTGGTCTCCTAAATCTCTAGTCAGTGCTCTTTTATCCTCCGCAGTAAAATATCTTCTCTTCCCTCCCACTTGAAGTAAAAGTCCTGTCCCCAGATGCCTCATCAGATAAATAACTTTCCTATTAAATCCAGTTTTAGTGTTTAGACCTCATCCCTTTCACTTATCGCTGAAGATCTCTAGCCTAATTATTAATATCTTCCTTTAATATTCTTAGAGAAGATTCTTAAAATGGCTGTAGGAGAAGCCTCACTCACCAAATCTTACCTTTGTCCTTTAACAGGTTATTTCTCTTATTTCCCAAAACAAAATTCCCATCAGATCTTTCTCTTATTTTTTCTGGAATTACTGGGTGGACAGTGTAATCTTACCAGTCAACATTCCTTTTACTCGGAAATGTATTTTCTCATTTAAAAAATAATACGGCCAAACTCTGGAAACAGCTTTGTTTTAATATCCGTTTTCTCCAGCTCCTGGTTTGCGGCTGCCTCCCTCAGCCCTCAGGAGCAGCTCTTTCGTGTACAGGCATCAGCCTCACTGAGGAACAGAAATTTCCTACTATCTTCATCTCTCCCTACCTTCCTCATTACAGAACTCTCTTCGGGCCTCACTCCCGGTATCTCTTTCATCGCTACTAGGACTCCTTATCTGGGGGAAGGCTTTCCTCCCTAATACTGAAAGGGAGTTAAAGGCAGGTTCTTTTCTTTCTTTCTGGTTGAGATAGATATCTGTTTGGGGCTTGTTTTTGTCAGCCAAGCATCCCGTCCCGCTTTTGTTCACTCACAGCACCCCCTCCCTTTGGGTCCTGCTTCTCATCTGTTCCCCAGGACAGTGGGGCTGTCAGTCACATTTCCCCACCTTAGTGGCCATGGAGGCCTGGGACCTGGATCTGACCAGTCCTAGCTTCCCGTCTCCCTGGGCACCTGACTCAGGCTAGCTCATCAGCCATCACAGGATTTTATATGTGCTAGAATGCGCTGGGCTCCCACCCTACAAGTATAAAAATTTAGACCAGCTCAGGCTCGTCCCACCCTCCTCCTGCTGCCTCTCTTAAGGAGAGAGAACAGGTGAATTCAGAGAGAGGAGGCAAGTTGAGAGCAAGAAGAAAAGGCCTAACAACATGGTTTGCATTCCTGTACTCTGCAGTCACGTGAATCAATAACTGTCCATTTTAGCTTAAATTGGAGTTGAGCTACTATCACTAGCAACTCAAAAAGTTCTGACTACATCCAACACTGTAACTAGAAGTGACAGTAATTGTATGACTCCAGGGAAAGTAGGCATCTCCACCTCACTCCCATAACTTTCCCATCCAAGATAACCTTTCCATAGTACCTGAAATTATTCATAATAACACCACCTAAAATTTGACCACTTGAAATCCATTTGAACTTTAGAGAAATCTCTTTAATCAATCTGAGTATGAATTATTTTAATTCAAAGGCTTTGCTCCCAACATCAAGTTGAGATCAGACATATGACGGAATAGAAATTTCGATGAAGAAAAAAAGGAAGGCATTTTTTTTTAATGGAGAGAAAGGAAGAACAGGCCCCAGGCAGACACAGCAGAAGAGCTTTGGGCAGCTTTGGTATCTAGAGAATATGCCAAAATGTGAGACAGGAAAACAAATGAAGAGAGAAAAAGACCCATTGATTCCACTTCTGGGGATATATATGAGGAAACCCCAAACACTAATTCAAAAAAATATATTCATCCTTTTGTTCATTGCAGCATTATTTACAATAGCCAAGAAATGGAAGCAGCCCAAGTGTCCACCAGTAGATGAACGGATAAAACAGCTATGTTACGTTTACATAACGGAATACTACTCAGCTGTAAAAAAGAAGGAAATTTTACTTTTTGCCACAGTGAAATAAGCCAGTCAGAGAAAGACAAGTATCATATGATTTCTCTTATATGTAGAACCTAATGAAAAAAATAAACTAACATACAAAATAGAAACAGATCCATAGATACAGAGAACAGACTGACAGCTGTCAAAGAGAAGGGGGGTCAGGGGCTGCGCGAAAAGCTGGAGGGATTTAGCAAAAACAAAACAAGACAAAACCAAAATCTCATAGGCATAGACACCAGCATGGTGATTACCAGAGGGAAATGAGACCAGGGGAAGGTAGAAGGTAAAGGGGAGATAAATGGTCACGGAAGGAGACTTGAATTGGGGTGGTAAACACACGATACAATATACAGATGATGTGTCATAGAACTGTACACCCGAAACCTATAATTTTATGAACCAATGTCACCACACTAAACTCAATAAAAATTATTTTAAAAAATAGAGAGAGAGAAAGCTAGGGACAAAATCTACTCCTGTTAGATTCATACAATGTTCTCTCTTGGCATTCCCCATATGAATAGTTCACAAAATACAGTTCTATTTCTATCATCACTCCCAGAAATCTCTGTCCTTATTAGTGCAGAGAGTCACCTATCTTACACAATTCCTAGGGAAGATCTCTTTCCCAACTTAATTCCCAGGAAAGCTCCCCATCTATTTCCATAACAAGGACCATCCCGATAATTTCTTGCACACCTATTACATTAGGATGCTGGACTAATATCTTCTCATTTAAGTCATTTTTAAGTCTTAATTCTGTAAGATAAGTATTATTTCCCTAATTTTACTGGTGAGGAAATGAACACTGCAGAGGTTAGTATTTCGCTTCAGGTCACAAAGAAAGGGTGGCACCAAGACCTCTATCCAAAGCCCATGCTTTTTGCTCTGCACTGACCACATCTCTTCACCACTGAATGGAAAGAGAGATTGAATTATAATGTCAGTGCATCATAAATATTGTATCAGTTGGGTACATGACACAGAAGGCCAGGGACTGACTGCACAACACCGCTTCTCTTTTTCTCACTCCCTCATGGGCACTGCTTTCTTGCCCACCAGGTTCGGTCACAAATGATCCCCAACCTTTTTGGCCTGGATTAGATCAACTCCCACCCTTATCACATGTTTCTCTCTGTATTTTAATTTTGAGAGCTGTACACAGCCAGAACGCAGGTAACACCTCCCGGGTCCCAGTGGACAAAGCCTTTTCTATTCTAAAGCCAGCCCTGATTTCACCTCAAAACATGCATTTCCCAGCCTGCTCTTCCTCATCAGCTACCACAACAACTCAGCACTGAGAAATAAAGAATTTCCCCCAATCCCTTAAAAAAGGGAACAACTCATTAATGAAGGTGTCCTTATAGATAAAAACGGAATCGTAGAGCTGGAAGCAATCTTACCGATCACCTAACTCAAACCCTGATTGTACAGATGAGGAAGTTAAGCCACAGGTGTGATTTGGCCAAGGCCACGCAGTTGCGTACGTCTAGTGCCCACCCATAATTTACGGGATCGTTATCATCCGGTCCGGCACACAGCACTTCTTACTGTCACTCGCAGGACAATTTCATCCTCCTCTCCCCCTCCAGGACACCTCTGTGTGCATCGCTTCTCTTCCCGTTGCTCACAACACAGTTCCTTCTTCTCCGTTCTATTATACTGCCATTTCCCAGGACTCGCAGTCAAGAAGTCCTTCTCCCATTACCTCCAGTTCAAAGGTATTGCCCTGCTTCTCCCGTCCTCATTTTTCACACAGTGCTTTTCCTTCATAACCCTGATCTTTGCCCTGAGGTTCCCCTGCTTCTAATACAGCTTTTTCTTTTCATCACTTGGAGGGTATTCCTTTCTCTTCCATGACGGGAAGGGAACAACTTGCAGTACAGCGCTGTCTCTTCCTGCCACAACTTAGTTCAGCCTGTGCGGGTCCCTCTTCTATCACACCAGATTTAAGCCTCTCTTCTCCTGTCACTCTTCCTCTCAATGAGCACATCAATATCTCTCCCACATTACTCTAAGTTGATAGCTTTCTCCCAGGGTAACCATATTCCCAGTGAAACACCCCAACCTCTTCTTCTCTTCATCCCCATCGTGACCATTGCAGCTGTGGCACCACCACTTGCGTACAGAGCTCTGTCCTTTCAGCTTCTCTCTGGCCTCAGCATGGGGCATCTCCCCATTCCCTCTCGATAAAAGTGCTCTTCCTCCGAACTCCCCTTCTCATCATCCCTAATTAAATGTCTCTTTTTTTCGTACATCTACTTCATTACTTCTTGCATTTCTATTTCCTAATTCCCAATCAGTTTAACTGCAAAGATCCTTCTTTCGCCATTACTTCCAAGGCAAAATACTTCCCTATAGCTTCCCCTTGCAACATCACTCTCAGTGCAAAGCACTGCTCATATTATGTTTTTCCTTCTTTCCAATTAAGTATTTTCCCTCATTATTCCAATTACTGCCTCTCTCCCATTATTCCCAGTATAGATTATTCTTGCCTATGACTCCAAGAATTATCTTCCTAATCATTTACTTTATGTGTGTATGTGTGTGTGTGCGCGCACACACGCATGTGTGTATCTCCATATTTACATACGCCACTGCAGAGATCTCTCCTCTCTTCCATCCCTCCCAAGGCTTATCTTCCCCATAGTACAAGGCATCTCAATACCCCATTCCAATCCTCCTAATGAAAATTTGCTCTTGTCATTTCTGAGATCTCTCTCACTCAACCAGGAGTTCTTAACTCTTTTTGTGCCATGAATTCTTTGGCAGTCTGATAAAGATAATAAACTCCTTCTCAGAATAATGCTTTTAGGTGTTAAAATTAAAACATATAAGATTACATTAGAAGTTCAATTTTATAAAAATACAGTTATCAAATATTTAAAGGGAATTTGTGATGTTTCTCTATTAATTAATTAAACAGAAAGATGTTTCCAAACACTGCAAACTTCTATGAAAAATATTTGATTTCTATTGGTGACAAGAATCTCAGGTATTATTGAAATTACTATGGCTTCTGGGCTACATTTATAATTAAAGGAAGTACCAAATTTTAGTTATAAATTAATAAAAATAAAGATGCAATTTTTTCCCCATCCACAATTAACAGATCCCCTCACAAGAGGTCCATGGAGTCCATATTGAGAACCCTATTTTAAACATGGGAGGCTTTAAAAATAAGCTTTTATTCTATGGAACTGAAAGGAAATTAAAAGTCATCTATGCCAAAACTTGTGTTACTGATGAGGAAAATGAAGTCTAGAGAAGTTGTAAGACTTCAGATCTCATAGTATGTCTTGAAGAGAGTAAGCCCTTAATAGACACACAATAAATGTTCCCTGAATTGAACTAAGCAATTTGCCACAGTTGCACAGCTAATGAGCAATCTGAACCCTAAAGTTGAGACCTGAACCCATGTGTCACGACTCAAATAAATATTGCTTCGATCATATTAAGTTAATGCAATATTTGTCTTTCCATGAATGTCAATGGAGCAATCACTTGTACTGTATGCTGTTCCTCAAAATTTTTTAGGAAAATATACCCTGGGTCTTCCTCACTCCCAAGAAAAATCTCCCTCCTGTTTGTAACGGAAGTCTCTGATTCCACATCATGTTATCATTTCCTGTTTGTTCTCTCATGAGTAAATAGATCTTGGCAGTCATAATGGGCACCGACTCAGAAATTAACTGATGGTCATGTAAAATGCTTTCTAGCTACAATCAGGTGCTTAACTTACAGCGATCAGCACTCATGTATCATGTTCCTAGGAAGTTTCCTGGTCCTCTGGCATGATTTTCATTACTATTGCCAATCTCTATTCAGAAATTAGCAAATCTTTTTCTGTTTCGTTTTTTAAGATACTGTTCACTGCACTGCCCTCTCTCAGGTTTGTCCCATCACACTCTCTTTTCTATGTCATCTCAACTACAAATGTCGTCTTCTCCTTGCCATGCTGAACTGCCATTATCTTTTCCTAGCAATCTCTCACTTTATTCTTATCGTTCACCTGACAATTATATATGGATTAGCTAACATTTCTCACTTCTTAAGTATCTGTTTTCAGGCAATCCAAGCCTTTCCTTCCTGAGTGAACCATTGCTCTAGACACCCTCAATTTAAAGTTTCCCTTTGCATCTCTCCCAACAGACAGCTCTTGTTTTTTTCCCCATCCCCTCAGCACACAGCATCCTCCTCACACGTCGTCTCTGGAATGCGTATTTGCAGCACATCGTCAGGTTAGCTTTGATTTCTCTCAGCCTGCCCTTACACGTACCTTCACACGCAACATCATCTCTGCCCATTCCACTTGAGGCAGAATTTTCTTTTCCCCTGCCATTTAGAGCTTACTGTTCTCTTCTCCCCGCTATTCCTAACATCGAGGACTTCACTGTCCACTACAATTCAAAGCTTTCCCCTCATGACTTTCACATGACTCTATATTTTACAACTCTCTAGATCTGTTATGTTGAATATGGTCACTGCTGGACACTTGAAGCTACTGACCACCAGAAACATGGCTAGTTCGAATTGAGATGTGCTGAAAGTGTAAAATACACACTAGATTTTGAAGACTTAATAGGAAAAGAGAATATAAAACATTTCATGAAACATTTTTATACTGATTAATGCTAAAATCATATTTTGAACATATTGGGTTAAATAAAATATATTATTAAAATTAAATCTACCTGTTTTATTTTACTTTCCAATGTGGATAATAGAATTTTTTTAATGACATAAATGGATTGTTAGACAGCACTACTCTGGATTTCCTGTTGATTCATACTTTTAAATCTTCCCTACTAATAGAAAATTCTCTTCTCTCATATCATACCTTCCCTGATTATACTCACTGTTCCCCACACTCCAAACCTAGAATTATTTTCAATCTACCATTTTAAATACCTTTTCTGCCCCATTATTTATGTATACAGTATTTCTTTTTGACAACTAATACAGCTTCTACCCATGCAATTAAATAATAATAAAATGTCTTCTTTACCAATTCTGGTAGGGCGGTACTGGTCTCAACTCTCTACAAAATTAAAAAAATAGTCCTTATAATTCCAAGAAAAAGAATTTCACTCCTCATTCTCTAAATTGGCCTATCTTCACTATAATTTCATTTAAAGGGGCCAGTAACTGTAAAACAGTAAACTAACATAAATTAATAATTTCAGACCAATATCTCCCATTCACACCAGTACAGCAACTCCTCTTTGTCATTTTGAAGATAGAATTCTTTCTCCAAACTCTTCTAATGTTGTGGCTTCAATCCCATCATTTAAGCAGAGAGCTCTCTTATTTCACACTAACTACTCAAATGCAATTCTCAAAATTGTGTACTTGTTTCCCCACCACTTTCGGCACGGGCCATGTGTCATCATCACTTCCCACACTGATTTTATGACCGGCATTTCTGGAATTGCCGTTTTTTTCCCCCTCAACTATTCTAGGAAAAGAAATCAGGACTGGGAAGGTGGGCGTGAATGGCATGGGAAGGAGACTTGGGAGAATTTGTACTGAGAGTAGTAAGAAATAGCAGTCACAGATAAGATCTCTCATTCGTTATCTTCTTGGAATGTTTCTTCTGAAATCCTTCCTTACTGCTCTACCCCAGAAGCCCCACTTTAGACCCTTTATTTGTATCTCTTCCCCAAATGAATGATTACATTCACTCCAGCACCTCTCAAAATTCGTCCTCTGTAAGGTCTCCTTCCAATCATTCTTAGCAAAGAAATTCTTTGTTACCCTGACTGGTGTGGCTCAGTAGGTTGGGTGTTGTCCCACACACACTGACAGGTTGCTAGTTCAATTCCCGGTCAGGGCACATGTCTGGGTTGCAGACCAGGTCTCTGGTTGAGGCCATGCGAGAGGCAACCAATCGATGTTTCTCCCCCTCTTTCTCTCCCACTTCCTCTCTCTAAAAATAAATAAATAAAACCTTCTTAAAAATTCCTTGTTTTTACTCCAAGAATAAGTCACTTTTCTGCTTCCAACATTTTCTTCAGATGATGATCTTTCCTTCATCATTCTCTCTCTATATAAATTCTAGTTTCCCATCACTATCAGTATTGAAAAACCTTTTTAAAAAAATTGCTCCTCGTGTTGAAACTTTTTCCTATTTCCTACTTAGATATTTATTTAGCTCCCATCCAGTCTTCTCAAGACAGAACTCTTTCACATATACACTTCTGATCCAGATATTGTTCCCTTTTCATTTAGCCTTGCTAAAAATCCCTGTACATCTCTCTTCCGGTAGACAGTCCTCTCCTTTCTCATATTCTCTCTTTGGATAATCTGGGTATATAGCTCATTTGTTGGTCTCTTTCTTTACTCTTCTTTCTCCAATATTTTTCTTCTGTTCTTTTCCTCTGCTTATTCCTTTCTCTCCATCTCGAAGTCTGGTTTTACAGCAAATATTCTATCTGCTTCTATCCCCCCATTTTACAAATGGATCAAAATCGGAACCGAGGGAAACCTGAAGGAGTAGGGCAAGTTGCTTGTTCTCCCGTGGTTTGGGCATATCCCCCTTCAGTCCCCCTCCACTGGGAACTCCTTCCCCCTCAGCTCATCTCTCCCCCAGGTGTGTCTGGTTCTTTCGCTGCTCCAGTTGCCTCCAAAGCCATCCCTCTGATGGTTGCCTTACTCTCTTCCCTGCTTTAGGACCGGCCTATCCCCCAAATCACTCTGATCCTTTCTTCCTCCAGCCATTGGGCCATCTGCACTCCCTTACCTCACTCTGGGCTCTTTTATCTCATGGACATTTCCTCCCACCTCCTAGTTGCTGCTCTATCATTTCCTTTTGATCCTCCTTAGGAGATGCTGTTCAGACTTCAGTTGCTGGTTCCTCCTGGTCCAACCAGGTAGAAAATACAACAGCTGAATGCCCCAAAAGCCAAAATACTTGGGACTAAGGGGGAAAGGAGAGGGGGACAGGGTCCATAGCAGCCCTTGGGGTCTGGAAGACTGACTAGCACTTTGGTTAATTTCAAGGAAGGGCCCAGAAACCTATCATCAGAAATTTCCTTCTCCTGGCAAAGGACAAAAAAAAAAAAAAAAAAGAAAAAAAAAATTCAGTCTCTTCCTGGTCTCCACTAGAGTCATCCCCCATGCCTCCTGGTGTCACTTGCACCTGTTAAGCTGGATGCGATGAAGTTAAGCAAAGGCAGATCCATTCTGATGCTAAATAAGTTTAAGATTCAGGAACCTCATACTTAATTTTTTTTAAATAGGGCCCACCAAACTGTATAAGCTTTGGACGCCAGTACACCTGAATCCGCCCCTAGATAGTGAAAAGCTTTCCTGGCTTCTAGGGGTTAAGGAACAATAAATAGGGAAGCCAGGAGGGTTCTCAGTAGACTGATTCTAAACAGGGTGCAGTTTAACACACCTTGCCTCTTTTGAGAGGGCATCCTCGCCCCATGGATGTTCCTGTGTTAGCTCTTAGCTGAAGCTCCAGGCCTGTGGGCCACACCCAACCCAGCCCAGCCTCTTTCTTGGCCTCCCAGTCAGCCCTGGTTCGGCAGGTGCCACAGAACCCCTGATAGCTAAGGTTTCCTTAAGACCACTACTCAGTTCTTTATGGCTTAGCTCTAAATCTGTCAATTCAGAAGTGACCTCTCCTACCAGGGTGAAGACAGGTCACCAACACGGTCACCACTGCTTTAAGACCCTCCCTCTGCCCCTGCATTCACAGAGCTCAGCTGGAGTCAACACAACCTTCTCTTCAGAAGCCAGAACTGCCGTCCCCTTACTGAACTGACAGCTGCTCCAATGTCCCCTCACCCTGGGTCTCACTGCTGTCCCCAGGGTCCAGTCCCACACTTGCGGCTTCTCTATTCCCGGCAGCTGAGAAAAATGAAGGGATTCTGAAAAGACGACGCAGGAGAGCCATGGCTTGAGGACTAGAATGCTGGGAGGAAAGGCACTTATGTGGAAGTCTGTGGCGAGGCTTCAGGCACTCTGGAGACAGAGCAGGGCGGCGGTTCTGGGATCTAGAGGTGCTCTGTATGGAAGGGAACTGGAGGTGGTTCCGCAGAACCCGCCATCTGGGGGTCTGGGTTTCCCGGGCTCCAGGCAGGTGCCGAGATTCGGGATTCGGAGCAGGCTGCTGTCTGGGATTTCCAGGTAACGAGCCTCCCGCCCGGCTCCCTGGTTGGCCCCAGCACTTACCCGGTAGACTTGGAAAAGTCTCTGAAAAGTGCGGTGGTGGGGGTGGTGGGGGCTCTGCCACTTTCTCCCGGGCGGGCAGCAGCTCGTCGGCTTCCAGCCCGCCCTCTGGGCGTCGGCCGCCCGGCTCAGGGTTGTTTCGGGTGGCCGTGGCCGTAGCAGCGGCAGCGGCAGCAGAGAGCTCCGGGGGCCCGTAGAAGGCGTCCGGCGGCTCCGCGAAGCTGGGCAGCGCGGTGGTCAGCGCCACCATCGAGGGCACGGCCTGGCCCAGCCCCGCGCAGAAGGTGTTGGTAAGGCGGCCAGCAAAGGAGGCTAGTGGGGCGAGGGGCGGGAGGCCGGCGGGCAGTGGTGCGGGGGCCAGCGCCTGCGGCAGCACGAGGGGCCGGTAGGGCATGAACATGGGGTAGCCGGTGTAGAGCAAGTGGCCGGAGCGCGGTGGCGGTGGCCCGATCAGGGAGTCGATGGAGAAGGCAGTGCCCGGGCCCCCACCACTGCCCCCGCCGCTGCCCCCGGGGGCGCTCCCGCCTCCAGCTCTCTGCATCGCGCCGGGAGCTGTGGCCGCCCCGGGGCACTCCCCTCCGGGCGCTGCCGTGTGCCCCGCGGCTCAGGCACCCGGCGCGGACACGCAGGGCTGGCTCCCTGGCTCCCGGGCCGAGGTGGCGGCGGGGCGCGGGCTCGGCGCAGTGTGGCTCCGGCGCCGCGCTCCCTCTCTCTCTTAAGGAGGGAGGGGGCGGGCGGGCGGGCGGGCTGGGGGTGTCGCCCTCCGGACTCATCCATCTTCCTCAAATTACGCTTCACTTCCTCCCTCCGCCCTCCGCCGAGCCCGCTCGCTCCCTCTGCAGAGCCCGTTCCCAGCGGCCCCACCGGCCGGCCTGGGACCCCCGCCCGCCCCCCTTGGCCCAACCAACTATTATTAATGGAGATTGATGAGGCTGGACACGCCGCTTTGTGAAAGTTTGCGGCCCGACGAGAAGGCGGCTGCAGCTGCTGGGCTAGTGCCCCTCCTTCCACCCAGCCCGCCCCTCACTTAGCCCACTCGATGCGGGCGTGGACTCCGCGTGGGGTAGCAGGCAGGGAGGGCTCACGGGAGGGACAGGCCCAGACCAAGCCCCCTACCTCCACCCACACCCCACCCCTGCAGGCCGCCCTCTGTCCGACTCAAGCCAGTCCCCCGGGGTCCCATTCTCGGCCCCTGGGGCAGCTCCAAAGGCAAGACCAGAAGGGCGGATGAGACAGGACCTCGGCGCCCCTTTGGGTGGTGAGGCCAGGACGGCAGGGGGCACACTCCGCAGCCGGGAACCAAGGCTCAGGGCCCCGCGGACGGGGACCCGTTTCCTTCTCGGTCGTTTCTTCCCAGCCCCATGCACACTCTCTCCCTTGGTCCCTCTCTGCATTGGCTCTTCCTTCCCTTTCATCTTCATTCCCGCCTCGGTCTGGGACTTCTTAGTTCCTCACGCTGGCCTCGTGGGTAATTCCTGGAGAGCCCACACTATACCGAGTACTTACCATTCTTCTTACCTTCCCCCCTCCATCTTTCTCCCTTTCCATTCTTTTCCTTCCTCTCAGTGTTCCCTACCCTGCCCCTGTTTCTGTCTCTATTCCTATTTGGTTATTTCTCTTTCTCCATGGGTCTTATTCTATTTTTTCCCCCTCATTTCTCACCCATATCTCTATCTCCTGTCTGTCTTTCTGTCTATCTCTGGCTCTCCCCCCACCCTCGCATGTGCTTGCTCGCTCTCTCTTCTGCTATGAATTTCCCTGATTGGCTCCCCTGCTCCAGCGCTGCTGATGAGCCCTATTCATTCCTGGGCTTGACACTATCGACCTGCCCTGGCTGATTGCTGGGGGCTGGCCCCAGGAGTGCTGATGAGCCCCAAGGGTCAGCAGCGCTAATTATCCACTAATTGCTGATGACTCCACTCACCTCCCCCATTCTCAGACACTGAAATGGTGGTCCCTTTTACTCTCCCCCTCCTTCTGATTTCCAGCAGCAGAGTTGTCAATCTAGAGGCAAAAGTCATGGGCATGTTCACTTGATAGGAGCCTCAGGTCAATGCGCAAGAAAGACTTAAGACAGGCAAGTCAACACAAGAAGAGTGACCTGAGCTTCAGTACATAGGGCAAGCCTGGCCTGCTAAAATGGGGGTCATCTGGTCACTGGGAAACAGTTATTCTTGTTGGCCCAGGGAGAGACAAGCTAATTAAAATTAATAGCAAAGACAGGCAATTTTAGGAGGGTGATTTGGCCCAAGCGAGTATGAAAAACTATGCCAAAGAATCTCAGGGTTTCCAAGCCAAGATGGACCAGGGCAGGAGGGAACTCTGGGTCTCAGTGACATTTGTTCAATTCAGGAGCATTGTGTTGGCCTAAGGAGCACCACTAATGTTAGGCTAATGCATTAAAAATAAGCATCATGAAAAACACTGTCACCAGAGTGGGACAGAAGAGGGTGGGACCCAAGAAGGGAGTTTTCCTTGGTTATGTTCGATGGACAATTCATTAGAGAGGTAAAGGGAGAGAAGTAGTTTCCATTCAGTCCTGATCTATCTGTGGCTCTACATGAAACTAGGCAAAACTTCTAAGAGACAAGTCTGGCAGGAAGATGTTACCATAGAGAAAAAAAGTGGTGGCGTAACTTAGGTCTGGGAAGCCCAACTCACTACTGAAGTATGAGGATAATTCTTGTATGCAAATCCTTCTAAAGGTATTTGTCAGAACTCTTTGTTAAATTAACCAAGGACTTCATGGCACCAATATGGAAGACCAGCCTTCAAAATTGTATTGTATTTAAAAAGTACGACAGAGGTCAGTACTTGGTTTTATGGCTTTACAGTGTTGGATACACCCACAGAGGTTTATTGACTTAATAAATTATTGAGAGAATTTGGGGGCTACAATCACTAAACCTAAATCTGTATGAGCAGTAACACCACCAATCAAATAAACCATGAAGGAACACCCATTTTTAAAAGTAATTGCATTTATTTTTGCATAAGTAATAAAATCAGATAGCACAAAATTCCAAAAGCTCAAAGGATATATATTTAAACATCTCCCTCTGACCAGTCCCTTAAAAGACCATTTTAATAAGCCTGTCACTCTCTGGTTGGACAGAATGGATAATATGTTGTCAAGGACTCAAAGTTAAAGACCCTCTGATCTTGAAGATACATGTCACATAGCTCAACTCAAGATCTTATTTCCCTGAACTGTACTCAATAAAGTGGAATGCTCTGCTCAAGGTGGCACAGAGAGTACAGGCATAGAGCTTGTTGCCAACAAATCCCAATGGGCCACCAACTCTGAAGTGAGACCCCAGGGGTTTTATATTGCCCTGGTTCTGTGCATGTTAGGTACTGTCTTTTAGAATCTATTTATATCCTTGATCTGTCCCCTTGTCACACTGGGGTCCTGAAGTGTGACTTCTGCATAGTCCTTGGCATTCAGTAGCTAAACTAGGATAAAAGCCCTCACATACATAGTGGCAACTGAAGCAACCATTTCATTTCCCTGCCCTTTCATGGGCTGTGGAGCTGAGGCTACATGGTAAATAAGAAAAAAACACTGGCTGGAGTAAAAAGACCTGGAGTTAAGTTTTTGTTCTGACCCCTCACTGGACCTTGTGACCTTAGCCCCTCTTTGACTTAACTTTTCCATCTGTGAGCGGTTACTATCTATTCTGATTAGTCAAAAAACTGGTGCAAGAATAAAGTAAATACAAGGAAATAACTTTCAAAATGACTTCTTCCTGCACTAAATGAACCAAGAAGAGCCAAGTGGTCAATAATAGAAGACCCCAAATCAGTGTCTCTCCAAAACTACCTCTTACTCTCCCATCAGTACCAAGGACAGAAGCTGTTGCTGTCAAATCTGAACAAAGGTGGCTCCTTTCTTTACCAAGAGAAAATTGTGGTTCTCCTCCTGAATCCCTAGACGGTTAACTTGTGGGCAAGCACCTCCCTTCATGTCTAAAATGGAATTCCAGAAGTGGTTCTTTAATTGTCCACATGCTCTGACTTGTCCCACTCTCACTATTCTACCTGCTGGGGAAATGCTCCCACAGAGGAATTTTATTTTGAATCTACTCTCCCTACTAGTGCCTATGTCGGACCCATCATCTGGCCTCCCCTTCATGAATTAGAAACCAGCACTTAGGATACTAAGAATTAACGAAGTATTCTCAAGTCAAAGCCAACAGATCTATGCTGCCGCCTCACTCATTGGCGGGATAGAGTCCACTGACCGTGGGCCGCTTCGGGCCCTGTCCGCGGGCACCCTCTGGTGGTAGCAGAGTGCAACTGCGTCACCGCGAAAGAGGTACGGAGTACTACAGCGCCCCCTCGCGTTAGTCCAGGGCAAAGGAGACGCGCCCAGGGCAAAGGAACAGGAGAACCAGGTGAGCCGTCCAAGGATCGACGCTCCGGCGCTCCTGGGCACGTAACCGTGAACGTACTGATTGGACATGGAGGTTGTACACCAGAGCTTTAAAGTCTAGTACGCACGTGTGTAGGTTCATGTATGTTCGCTGTGTCCAGGTACTTGAACCCTGTGTATCTGTTGTGTTAAATGTATGCCGTTTGTGTGTGAGGACGTGTCACAGGCTGGTAGGTTGGTGGTGGGGAGGTCCGCGCCTCCAGTGCAGGGCGGAGTCCTCACGGAGGCGTGAAATTGGTTTGGAGCAAACACATTACGGAAAGCAATTACTGGGGAGAGGTTCTGGGCCCGCGGGACCCGCAGCCAGGAGGCTGGGGAGGAAGCTCCCTGGCTTGCAAGAGTGTCTGGATATCTAACCCCAGAAAGGGCTTTCCTAACACTGGCTGGCTAAGGCGAGGGCTTATGAAGTTGGGCAAGATCCCCTCCTACTGACTACTCCGCACTGCCTTTCTCTCCCGACGCAGTCCGAAGTCCTCACCCCTTATCACTTTGCGAAAGGCACTCACAGGCTTCGACGTCTTCCCAGGTGCCTGCCCTTATCACTGGCCTTCCTCCTCACACCCTCACTTCCTGCTCCCACACGGCTTTTGCTTTTACCTCATTGCCCCTGGTATTTGAATTAATTGTTCGCACACTTGTTTCTCAGGCTAGATGGGAAATTCACTGAGGGCAGGAACAGGTCTCATTCCCAGCTCTGCAGCTGGTGCCTCAAACCTGGGGCTCAGGGAGCAGAAGATGAATAATGTGGGCGGGATTACAAAGAACTTCCATGAAAATGCATAAACAGGGCTCTCCCAGGAAAGTCAGGAATGCTTGCGAGCCAGGATTTTCTTAGAACAAAGCTTCAAACATCTTCCACAAGCCAACAAGCCCGCATTTGTATCTCCAGACCGACCCTTGTCCCTGAGTTCCAGATTCACAGATCCAGATGGCCTTGTAGCACAGCCTCTTTGAAACAGATGTCAGCTGGAGAGCTCCCAAATTGAACTTCTGATTCCCCGGCCAACTGTCCCTTCTCACCTTCCCCACCTTAGTACTGGGCTGACTAAAGAGTCCGTTGAGTTTTTTCCATAAAATAAAAGACACAGTTTTCATTTTCACTAATAACTTTATTGATTTGGATATTTTAAGGATGTCAGCTATCCGCCACTATTGGCTTCTAGTGGACAGAGGCCAAGGGAGCTGCTAAACAGCTTCCAGTGCAGAAGACAGCCCCACAGCAAAGAACTATTTGGCCAAAATGTCAGTAGTGCCAAGAAACTTCACAAACCACTTTTGACACATTCGATCCATCATAGCACCTTCTCCGTACACTGCACACATATTTTTTGTTTGCGTTTCAGTTGTTTTCACCTGTCTTGAAATAACAAAGCATAATATGCCTAAAGTGTTGCATACTTCTTCCATCTTCAATATTAACATGGCTGCACAAAAATTCACCGATTTTGATGTTTTTGCAGATGCACTCTGAACCCTGGCTGGCGCGGCTCAGTGGATGGAGCACCGGCCTGCAAACCAAAGGGTCGCTGGCCCGACTCCCAGTCGGGGCACAGGCCGGGGCTGCGGGCCAGGTCCCCAGCAGGGGGCGCGCGAGAGGCAACCACACATGGATGTTTCCCTCTTCCTCCCTCCCTTCCCCCTCTCTTTAAAAATAAATAAAACCTTTTTGCAAAAATTCACTCTGATAGAACAGCTGTCACAATACAATCTATCAAAATTGTTTCGAATCAAGTTGAAGACAACTAAGCGCTACTAGAGCCACTGTCGGGGAAAACCTAAACCACCTTTGGGCCAACCCAATAATTAGCACCACCCTCCAGCCAGCTGTTCAGCCAAAACACTGGGAGTCACGCTGGACTGGGCTGTCCTCCGGCAAGTCCCGCCGGGCCTCCGAAAAGGGTCCGGCCTACTGCTTTCGCGCCTCTGCCGGGACCCCCGCAGTAGCCGCCCCGCGGTCTCCGGTTCGACGCCGCCCCACCCCCACCCCCACCCCGCGGCCCCACCCAAGCCCCTCGGCGCCAGAGCAATCTTTTAAAACCTAAATCAGTTCGTGTCACCCCTCGGCTCTCCCTCACGCACGCACAGGGCTGGCTCCTTTTTGTCATTCAGGCCTCGGGTTAAATGTCACCTCCTCAGAGAGGAGGCTTCCCTGTCGCCCAGTCTCGAACAGCTGCCCATCGCTGCGCTCCCCGAGGGGCCCCGTCCCAGGGTGGAACTCCCGCACCCGCCTCGCGGAAGGGGCTCCCCGACCGTCCGTCCCTCAGGACCCTCGCCGACTTGCCCCTCAGGTGGGGCCGGGGAGCCAGGACCGGCCTGGACGCCCCTCAGCCTGCGCTCGGCCCGATCGCTGCGGGTCGGGGCTCCGGACGCAGACCCTTCCGTCAAGCAGTCCCGTCCTCGCGCCGTGCCCCGCGACCGGACGCCAAACCAGCCGATCAGCCCACGGCCCGAAAGGTCGGGTGGGAAGCCGGCTCACTCACCTCCGCCCCGCTCCTGCTCAGCTGCTCACTCCACTCCCCGTCGAGCGTCGCGCCCTCCGCGCCCCGCCCCCGCCGCCTCGCGCCCTTCGGGCCCACCCTTCGCTGCTATGCTCCTGGCTGTTGGCGGGAAAGTCGTGAACGTCGGCGCGTGCGCACTCCGAGGCCCTGGGAAGTCTGTCTAGCAACCCTTGTCGTCACGGATCACAGTGCACTTGATTGGCTGCTCTACGGCTGCGGTCAACTCCGCCTCCCTTCTGTGGTTGCAGGCGGGCTCCTGGCTGCTGCGGACCCCTGCAGGTACTTAAAATCCTGGTGCTGCAAACACCCTCAGGGACTCCCTCCTGTCTTGTTTTACAGATGCGGGAACGAGCCCAGAGAGGGGAAGAGACTTATGTTCCCTAAGTTAATGGCAGAGCAGGACTAGAACCCAAGGGTGTAACTTTCAGCTCAGCTCCTGCCGCCACGAAGCTATATTTAGAAGGAGTAGATAGAGAGGCAGAAACCAGGTGAGCATCCGATGCTTCCTGACCTACAGGACAGGCAAGCAGGAGAGCTTTTTTATGGGTTTTGTTTTTTTAAAATGTGGCTCTTCCACTCTTTCCTGAACCATGGTTACCCCTCCATGTTTGCTCATCAGCCACACGCCCACCTCATTGGCCTTTCTGCCCTTCAGGTCACCACCCCACTCCCAGGCTGCCTGCCTCACTGCCTGCACTGCCTCATCTGCTGAGGATCTGCCCTACGCAAGCCGCCCGAAGGACCGCTGGCCAGTGAGGGCAACTGGCCAGCGGTCCTTGGGGCCTTTTCTGACACTATCGCTGGGCAGCCATTCTGCCGCATCATGGGCCAGAGGGGCAGGGATCTGGGATCCCTCAACCACGGGTGGATGCCAGAGGGGGAAGATGACGCCACTGGCACCATGAGGCAGATCCAGTCTCCCCACCCTGAGTCCCCTGTGAGTTGGCCAACTGAGAGGCCATCACTGTCAGTCCCAATGTTGGTCAGGCCTGTTAGAGACAGCACCAAATACACAGGTCTGGAGACTTTAATATGCATACAGGATTTCGATCAGCCAGCGCGGACCTCAGGAGACCCCCCCCCAAGACGAGAGTCTTACTTGCCATGAGTCCTCTCTCTCTCTCTCCAACAAACACGGTCCGTTTGCCTCTCCCTGGTGGGAATGGCAGCATCCACTCTCCCTGTGGAGATGGACCTCGTGCGGAGGGGGCCACCTCGGCTTGAGTTGGTTCGGTTCAGCCCTGGGTCTGCGGCACCATGAGAAGTGGTCCGGCGCCCCTGGGGCCTGGGGCATCTGCTTTCAGCCTCTCTCAAAACACGGTGTTCCTCTGGACAGAGATGTGCCTTTGGAGAGGTCCGGCACGCTGGAAGGCTGGCTGGTTCTGGCCACCCTGCCTCCAACCCTTTTCTTGCCTCCTACCCTCCCCTGACCCCGCAAAAAACAAAAACAAAAACAAAAAACCCGCTGGGACTGCCCAAAGAACCCAGGGCTCACCTAGTAGAGCACGTCCTCGAAGTCCAGCTGTAGGTAGCGGAGCAGGCGGGGCGGCAGGGGCAGGCGGGGCAGGGCGTGGGCCAGGCGGGTCTCCAGGTGAGCTCTGAGCGCACAGCGGCTCAGGTGCTGCAGCGATCTGGGCTGCCTCACCAAGGCGAAGAGGGAGGAGTAGAAACGGTGGTGCTTCTGGGGACGGAACAGGGGCCTCAGCGAAGGCAGCCTTGGGCTAGTGGCACCCGCTCCTCCCACAGGGGGAGGCTGGTGGCCAGTGGGTGTTGCCAGGAGCCTCTTGGGAGTCGGGAGGATTTGGAGTGGTCACTCTGAGTTTTCTTTTCTGGGACATGAGAGGATCTCTGGATAATTTGTGTGGGGCAGAATAGGGGGACCAACGGGGCTTCCCTTCAGTAGGTGGGGGTCTCTTGGGCAGGCTGCGTGATTGTGTGGTCAGGGTCCTGGAGTCTCACCTGCAGAGTTTCAGGAGACACCAGGCCCACAGCCCCCTCAGGAAGCCGCACGACACTGTAGGTGTTCATCAGGACCTCGATGGTCCGCGGGGACATGCACCAGCGTTCCAGCACCTGGGGGAGGCCGAGACATCAGCGTTTCCAGGGTTACCCCCACTGCAGGGTCCAGTCAGTTCACGCCGGGTGTCCCCCAAAAGGTAAGTTGCCGTCCTACTCCCTGGGACCTATAAATGTGACCTATTTAGAAATAGGGTCTTTGCAGATGTACTCAAGTTAAAATGAGGTCTTCAGGGTGGGTCCTAATGCAACATGACTGCCGTCTTTATAAAAAGAGAAAACAGAAATGCAGACATCATGCAGCGACAACACCATGTGACGATGCAGGCAGAGATTGGACCGATGAACCGACAAGCCAAGGAATGCCAAAACTGGGCAGCCGCCAGAAGCTTGGGGACAGGCAGGGAAGAGATTCTCCCTCAGAGCCTGCGGAAGAAACGAGCCCTGCCTGCAGCTGGATTTCAAATGTCCAGCCTCCAGGAATGTGAGGGAAAACATTTCCATTGTTTGAAGCCACCCGGTTTGTGGTCCTTTGTTATGGCTGTGACAGGAAACCAATCCATTAGCTAACACTTCTGTTGTGCATAATCTATGCCACATACTTTTCTTAGCACTTTACACGTATTACATCTCTTAATCCTTGTCCCTACAAAGTATGAGCTGTGATTGTCCCCATTTTACAGACAAGGGAAACTGAGGCACATAGAAATTAAGGGACTTGCCCAAGCTTTAGTGCCAAAGCCCAAGGCCAGCAATGTGGCTCTTGACCTTTTACTACTACAGCATCCTTCTCTATCACCAGCCTCCGTAAGGCTCTCTGCTGGATGTTTCTGGATGGGAAAGGGGTCCCTGAGCTGAGGCTGGAGATCCTGAGGGGTAATGATCCCGGGCTGGTGTGGCTCAGGGGGTTGGGCGTCGTCCCGCAAAGCAAAGTGTTGCCAGTTAGAGTCCATGTCAGGGCACAGGCATGGGGTTGTGGGCCAGGTCTCCAGTTGGGGAACGTGCAGGAGTCAACCAATCAATGTTTCTCTGCCTCTCTTTCTCCCTCCCTTCCCCTTTCTCTAAAAATAAATAAATAAAATCTTTTTTAAAAAAAGACTAATGAATCTGCCCAATGCCAAGTGAGGAGTAGAGATGGCTACAAGGGCGGGGCTGGGGGGGCGGAGCAGGGCCTGGTGGTCAGGGAGGGGTTTTCAGGGTGGGGGCCTGGGGCGGAGAAGGAGAAAAATCTGGAGCCCAGAGGGCATTGCGGAGAAAGGAGGGGCCAGCAGGGACCTGACGTAGGAGTGGGGGCGGGACCAAGATGGAGCCAGATTCATTCTCTCACTTCTTTTTTTTTTTTTAATTGATTTTAGAGAGAGAAAGGGAGAGAGGAAAACATCATTTGGTTGTTTCACTTATCCATGCCTTCATTAGTTAATCCTTGTATGTGCCCTGAGCTGGGGATCGAACCCACAACCTTGGTGTATCGGGACAATGCTTTTACCAACTGAGCTACCCCACCTGATCCATTCTCTCATTTCTTCATTCAGCAAATATTTACTGAGAACTACTGTGGGCCAAGCACCAGGGACCTAGCCGTAAGGAGAACAGACAGGTCCTTGTCATGTGGGAGTTTCTATTTCAAAAGGGAAACACAGCTTACAGATATGCTGCTGCCAAAAAAACCAAACAAACACGTAGGCTCGGAGACTGAGCGTGGCTGGAGGGCCCAGGCCTAGGTGGGTGGTCAAGAAAGGCCCCTCTGAGGACGTGGCCTGATGCAGTGAGGGGCAGGCCATGCCAGGGGTGCTGCTCTTGCTGGGGGACCGTCTGCATGGTCAGAAAGGCAGCCATGCACAGGTCGGACCCACACAGGTACCATCATTCCCGCTCGTGCCTGCACATAATACCCATTAGCAGATTCATGCTTCATCTTCTCCATGTCTTGCTCTATGTTCAGCTACAGGCAGTGACCACAGATTCTTCGTAAAATCAGAGGACATCTAAGTGCCATCTCCCAGGCAGCACCCCTGCACACAACCCCCTCTTTACCCATGCACTGGCCTAGGACATGAGAGGTTTGAACACCCTGCGCAAGGAGAGGGGGCCCTTCTCCCTGGCCGGCTGGGAGAGCTGCATGTCCTGGGCACAGCCGGCGAAGGGGAGCAGGGGGAAGGCCTTCTCCAGGGAACAGGCCCCTGGAGAAAGCACCCCCATGCCCGAGGCCCTCTGCTTCCGGCCCTGCATCTGGGTGGAGCTCACCCGAGCTGCTCCAGCCCATCTGCCCAGGGCAGGCCTCTTCACCTCACTCCTCAGAGCTAGAAAAATGCAGGCTGGTTCCCGCCAACCTTCTCGCTCCACCTGCCCCTCCTATCTGCCCTTGGGGCCGGTCTCTCTGTGCTTCCTTGCCCACGCTAGCGTGTCTCGTACTCTGCCTCAGATGCCTGTGCCTCCAGCTTGTCAAGCCTGGCTTGTTCCAAGTCCCACCCCCTTCAGGAAGCCTCCTGAATCCCAACCTGCATCTCCCTCTCCCTTGTCTAATGATATCCTACACTGGGATAACGCCTAACAGCTTTGCAAGTGCTACTGAATATCAGAACAACGCTCGCTAACAGCTGTTGAACACTAACTCCAGGTTAGGCCCTGTCCAAATAGCCTCGTACGGGTGAGCTCGTTTAGTCTGCACACAGAAGCAGGGATCCTGTTATGTCCCTATTGCAAGGATGAGGAAACTAGGGCCCGGAGAGATTAAGCAACGTGCCAAGGGTCACACAGGTCGTGTGCCCTGCTCCAAAGGCTGCATTCTTAGTCACCACCGATCTCGGAGGCTGTCGGAGGACTGAGGGAACCCATGTGGCAGGTCACACACCTTCAAACAGTGCCTGGTGTCTGGTCAGGACCATCACCCGCTGCACTCCGATAGCTTTCTATCACTGGTAGGTCACAGGGAACTGAGGTTCCCAAAATCCCAGTGACTGGCCTATAGTCACATGAACAAGCATCAATGCTGGGCCTCCTCAGTGTCCAGTCCGGTGTGGTGGCCTGGAGAACCGGCTGGGCGGGTAGTGGCCCCTGATGGGCCGTGGGGGCCTCCTTCGCCAAGAGGAGTTCCTGCCCAGAGAATAGTCATCCCAGCCGAGCCTGGAACAGCTGCCTGATTGTGGGAAACAGACCCTGCGCTTTCTGACCAGGGCGCCGGGATGAGGGGACCAGTGGGGCGCTTTGCTGTGCCGGCCCCCTTGGTCTGGGAGGCAGGGAGCAGCCGGGCCAGCGGGGCGGGCGGTGGGGTCCCGGGAAACCCCCTTGCTGTTCCGCCACCTCCTCCCACCCTGTCCCCAACTATGGGAAATCATTAGCTGTCAGAGCCACCGTCAGATTACAGGGAATTGCCTGTCTCCTAATTATCTGGTGTTAATAGGAGATTAATTAGTGTTAATTGTTGATTTTCTTGTATTCTCCCAAAGGGGAGACCAATCTGCCAAACTCTCAGGCTGTTTAATTATTTGGTCTTGCTTAGGAATCTAGACAGATGCTTCGAGGTTTGCGAGTGAAGGGGAGAGGAGGGGACAGCAGGGGAGCATCCGGGACGGGGCTGGGCTGGGCGGGACAAGCAGGGGCACCTGCCCGCAGCCAAGTCAGCCCTGACCCGATCCCTGGGAGAACGCGGTTCCCTACCCAAGACCCAGTGCCCTTCACGCCGTCATTTAGCCCCCTCCAGACACGACGCAGCATGCGACAGGGCCCCCTGCCAAGGCGTCAGTTACACAGGTCCTCCTGTCAACCCACTTTGGGGAAATTAACAGAAAAGACGATGCAGATTCGAAACTGACAGTGCAAGGCTTTTTCTCAGGTGCCAGGACAGCCGCAGCGGGACTGGGTGAGGCCTGTCCTGCTCAGCGCTCAGGAACCAGGACCACGCTAGTCTGCAGGTGGTCAGGAGGCCCAGGACTTGCGACCCAGGCTCACTGCTCTGCCGTAGGGGAGCCTGCCCTGTACTGTGAGTGCCTCACAGGCAGGCGGAGCCTCCGAAACACTTCTATCAGCTCACTCCTTCTGCCCACATCAGTCCTGCCTCCGCCTTACAACCTAACCCCACTCCCCTCGGTCCACCTTCCCCACACATGCGCACACATGGGGTGCACACTCACATGGATCCACATGTGCGCCTGTGTGCACACACATACCCCTCCTCCGGTCTGTGTCCTCACCTTTGCCCCCTGTTGGGCTTTACTGACTTGCGGAATAAAAGACAGACTGAATGGACCTATCAAATGCCCAAGTGTTCCGGGCGTATCGAGAGCATGTGGGAGCGCAGGTCTCCCGCCCCCACGCCTTCGTCTCCCTTCCTCTGCCCCCAGCCCCGTACCTTGGGGAGAGCCCCAGGCCAGACTCGAACGGCGCCATGGTTGAGCAGGGCCCGCACTACATGCTCTGGGCTCTGGGCCAGGGCCGAGGGCGGGCCCTGCAGGGCACAGTGCAGGGCTGTGTGTCCTCCGTAGTCCATAGCGTTGACGCTGACGCCGTAGGACAGAAGCAGTTCCACGACAGCGGCGTGGCCGTGGCGACAGGCCAGGTGCAGGGGCCGCCGCTTGTCCTGGTCCGCCGCGTCAGCGTCGGCGCCGGCCGAGAGAAGCAAGCAGCACAGCCGGAGGCAGCGGGCTGCGGTGGCTTCAGCATCGGTGGGGGACATGCAGCGCGTATCGCAGGCCACCAGCAGTGGGGTCCAGCCTTCGGCGTCACGGGCATCTGGGCATGCCCCCCGTCTGAGAAGCAGTTCTGCCAGCTCCACATGGCCCAGCCGGGCGGCCACGTGCAAAGGGGTCTCCTCTTCCTCCTCAGAACGACCGTCCACTTTCGCCCCAAACCTCAGGAGCAGCTCTGCACACCTGGTGAGGGCGAGAAGACAGTGGGGAGGAAAACGGGGCGCAGACCCTGCACTCCTGCCAGTCTGAGCGAAGCAAGCGGGGGGTGGGGAGTTGGCCTTGGGTGGCTCCTGGCTCTGTAGGCCCTCACCTCCACCTTGTCCCTAGTCATCTGGCAACATTCTGCAGGATCTATAATGCCCGCTTTTCAAGTTCACACACTCCCTGCAGGAATTGTGCACTAAACTCTCGACGGCAGGAAAAGTCACGAGGCACCATTATGCCCTTAAAACAGGTGCCTTCTGAGGGCCTCCCCTGCAGTCCCTTGTTTAATGCCCACAGCATTCCTGCGACAGGTTCAGTGGGGGAGGCCCCACGGGGGCGAGCTCATGGGGGAGAAGCTGGCTTTCGGGTCCAGGGGCAGCAGGGCAGTTGGAGGGACCGGAGGAGGAAGTGAAGCGGGGCCTGGCAGTGAGCATGAGGAAGCATAAAACCAAAACGGACCAGCCAGGTTTGCCTCACGAAGGCCCCCGTGGAAGGTCACGTGCACCACAATCCAAGGCTCAGGGCCTTAGCCTCTTTGCTAAAATCAGCTCCCGCTTCCTCCTCTACGGAATGGGGACAACTGCTGAAATCTAGACCTAAGTGCTGCTGTTGCCTGAAAAGCTGTTATCATAAGAGCTCTTAACAGCAGCATTTGGTGTGTTGGGCGGGGGATGGGTCATAGGGACGGTGATGGGTCATGATATCACCCGGCCCACATTTCTACATGTTTGAAATTCTCCATAATGATTTTAGATTTTTAGATATACATTTGCTTACTCCAGAAAGGAAGGGAGGAAGGATTATCGCTGGGGGCGGCCTCAGGGAGGCTGGGCTGGACATGGCCAGAACTAAAAATGTGGGGCTGTGTACAACTGCGCCGTCCAGTACAGTAGCCACCTGCCTCGTGTGGCTGCTGAGCGCTTGCGGTGTGGTTAGTCCTGGCTGAGACTCGCTGAGATTGTGAAAGCACAGCAATCTGATGGCGATACAGAACAAGGGCGTGCACTATCTCGTTAGGTTTTTTGTACTGATTATATACGGAAATGATAATATTTTGGATGCATTGTATTACGTAAAATATATTATTAAAATTAATTTCGCCTGTTTCACAGATATCTGCGCGCCCACATTCACAGCAGCATTACTCACAACGGCCAAAACATGGAAGCCAACTAAGCGTCCATTAACAGGCCCACGGGTAACTGCCATGCGGCATCTGCACACGACAGAATCTCATTCAGCCTTTAAAAAGGAAGGAGATCCTGACACAGGCAACGGCCTGGGTGACCCTGAAGACACTACGCTAAGTGATACAAGCCAGTCACAAAAGGACAAACACTACCCGATTCCGCTCATATGAGGGACTCAGAGTAGTCCAAGCCGCAGAGACAGAGAGTAGAATGGCGGCGACCGGGGGCTGCGGGGAGGGAGGGATGTGAAGTTATTGTTCCATGGGTATGGAATTACAGTTTTGTAAAAATTAACAAGTTCAGGACTTGGCCATGGCTGGGTAGCTCAGTTGGTTAGAACATCATCTTGATACACCAAGGTTGTAGGTCCGATCTCTGGTCAGGGCACATGCAAGAAGCAAGGAATAAATGCCTGAGTAAGTGGGACAGCAAGTCAGTGTTCCTCCCTCTCCCCGCTTTCCCCTTTCTAATCTGAAAACCAATAAAGTAACAAATAAGTACATGGAAAGTTCAGGAGCCGGACGGATGGCGGTGATGGCGGCGCAACAACGCGAAGGCACCTGACACTGGGAGGCGGGTTGGGGGCCATGTGTATCGCACCGCGGCTTAAACAATTAATTCCACCGGTTCCATTTTCATTTTCATTCTAGTGGCAAGGCTGCTAGACAACCTTCCATGACCACATGGCTGTCATGGTATCTCTCCCGGGCCATGCTGGCGTAGGACGCGTCTTCAGTAGGATAAGTCAAAGGGCTCCTCTGAGGGCTGGCAAGGTTCGCAGGTGGAAGGAGGCCCATGAAAGGAGGCCCCGAGAATCCAAAGCCCGCCCGTTCGGGGGCAGAGTGTGAACTCTGGCAGCCGCGCATCAGTAGAGGGAGGGCCTCCCCTATGGGTGCAGTTGGCCACAGGCTTGGCAAGGCTTCCTTTGTGGGGTTCCACGCCGATCAAAAAACGGTGGGGACTCACCCTCCAACATCCCCCACACCTAGGGCATAATTATTTGGAATATTTCCTACAGTAGATGATGCGTTGTCACATCTAGGTACATCCTTTTATTTCTCCTGAGTTTGGTGAGCGGAACTCGGTCCCTGAGCCCATGACGGAGGGTGCCCAGCCTGAAAATGCCCCACCTGCCAAGCTGAGAACCAGGCCCTGTCCACAGGGACCAAAGCAGGCTCTGAGCACGGGTTGCTGTCCTTTCAGCCCACCTGGATCACCGGACAGTTGGTCCCCGAGGGCAGGACCGTGCCTCGGTTGCTGCACTTACCATAGTCCTGGCACACAGGATAAACTGGGAACGTGTGACAACCTTACAGTCCAGTGTGGATCCGCAGAATGAGTCCAGGCGCGTCCTCCAGCGCGGGCCACGCAGTTGGCCCCTGCCACAGCCCTCCCCTGCCTCCGGGAACGCGGGACCTGTCCCGAGTCCGGGCCGTTCCAGACCTCCTGGGACCCCTGGCTGTGTCCCCCATGGCAGGCTGGCTCCCCAGCCGCGCCCTGACTCCCCCCTCCAGCCCACCGGCCTGTCCGCCGCTGATGTGCTCCCCCATTTTTCCTGAGGTCACCGCTTTGGCCCCCCAGGAGCGGGATGGGGACGGGGGTGAGGGGTCACTCACTCGAGGGTGCCAGCCCCCCGGCAGAGGTGCAAGGGGCGTTTCCCATCCTGGTCAGGGATGTTGGGGTCGGCTCCTGCCACCAGCAGCACGTGGACACAGGCGGTGTGGCCGGCGGCACAGGCCTCGTGCAGGGCGGTGCGGCCCCCAGGGGCGCGGTCGGGCCTCGCCCGCCGCCTCAGCAGCAGCCGCAGGACCTCCGTGTGGCCCCGGCTGGCCGCCACGTGCAGTGGGGTGGTCAGTTCCTCTTCGTACGTCAGAGACCAGAGTCCTAGGGAGAGGGGAGACAGGGGCCTCAGACCCTGGAGGGAAGCAAAGAGCCGCCAGACAATGGGAGAGGTGGCAGAGGCCGGGAAGAGGGAGCCCACAGCTCCGTTCCCAGCCTCCCCTCTCCCCTGCGGACCCCCCGGAGCCCCTGGTCCGTACTCAGAGCGCGAATGTTGAAGCGGAAATCCCTCCATCGCTCTGGGTCGCTTGTATCAAAGATGGAGTCTGGTGTCAGGCCAGTGCTGGCGTCGGCAAGGATGTGGGAGACAGAGCCCACGTCCCCGGCCAGCAGCGCCTGCCAGAAGGCCAGGGCAGGTCCTGAGGCCGTGCGGGTGACGATGGGTCCCGGGCCAGACTTCGGGTCCTCTGCAGGCTCACTGCGGGGCTTCTCCACCAGCCTGGCACAGAGGGCATGTCTGTCACCCAGGGACTCTTCCTGCCCCCTGCACTCTTCTGGGGACCAGCTCATGAGGAAGGGGTGTGGGGAGGAGCGGTGGGGGCCGAAGACAAGGAGACAAGAAGAAGGGAAACAGGCAGGTGGAGGGAGAGGGTCTCTGTGTCTCCGAGCTGAGCTGGAGCTGAGCCTGCCCAGCGGCGCAGCTCCCAGGAGCTATTCTGGGCTCCGCATGACTTCACCCCCGGGCCAAGGTTTAGGCAGCTTTGGGGAGAGGGAGAAACTGCCAGAGGCTGCTGCTTCTCCTCCGTGCCCGCTGCGGCCAGTGCAGCCCCCGTCCTCACCCGGCTGGCGGCTGGTCCAGCGCGGCTCCGCAGCCCGGCTCTCGAGCAGCAGGTCGGCCGTGCTGTGCGCGGGGAACAGCTCCTGCAGCCTCGCCAGGTCTCCGGTGTACAGCGCGTTCTGCAGGGCCATGTCACGGCACAGCAGCGGCGACAGCCGCGGGGGCTCCCAGGCCGGGCGGGCCGGGGCCGCAGGGAAGCTCCCCACATGGTGTCCCCAGTGGGGAGGGGAGCCCCTGCTCCCAGGCATGGCCGTTTGGTGGAAGAGAGAGTCAAAGAAGCGGGACGCAGGGCACTGGGCAGGCGGGTGCTGGGCCCGAGCGGGTGAGGCCCCTGGGGGAGGGGCAGGAGAGCCCAGCCATAAATAGCCCGACTATCCTGGCTCTCAGTCCTGCGGAATGAGGCCCAAGCTGGCAGTGGGAACTGGGGAGGGGCCTGGAGGGCGAGCGAGGATGGAGCCCTCCAGCCACCAGCTTCACCCCGAGTGGTTCACAGCAGCACTGAAGGGACCACCCGGATGGTGGCATCCGCCACAGTTTCACAGGTGGAGGAAGACGGAGCCCCGGGCGGGCGGGGGCCGGGCCCTGGTGTGATGGCTTGTTGCAGAGCGGAGGCTGGAAGGGGCGGGGCGGGGCGGGGCTGTCCAGCTGCTGCTTCTCACTCCGCCTCATCTATCACGGGCTCCACCACGAGGCCCCCAGCTGCCTGGGCTCTGATCCCAGGCGGAGGGCAGGTGGGTACACATTCATTTTTTATGTCCTCCCAAATGTCACCAGTTAGTCCCATACCTCCACCCTCCCAACCCTAAAGGAGGGGCTCAGAGTAGCAACAAATGATGGAGAAAGCCCCTCTGTGAGTTACCCCTCCAGGGGCTTATAGGAAGACAGACTCTACCCGGGGGGCAGGGCTCCCACAGGCAGCAATAGAGAGACGGCTTTCGTTTGGGAAGATAAAATGAAAAAAGGGAGAAAGAAACCTCAAACCAGCCCCTGGGCTGAGCCGAGCCGAGCCGCGCCGAGCCGCGCCGCTGCTGCCCACACGGCAGTCTCGCCTGCCTGGCCCTCATCGCCTTTACGACCTGTGAGGCACACCTCGACCTTTATTCACACGCTCTTTACAACGCTTCCTCAGGGAGAACCTGGAGCTCCCAGGGTTTCCGGACCCCAGTCCCCCACCCCGCTCCCGCTCTTCTCCCCCGACCAGGGGGACCCACCGATGGACTCCCGCCAGCGGGCAGGAGCAGCGTCCTGCTCGGCCCTCTGGGGCCAGGCTCTGGGTCAAAGACAGTGCAGAGCCCAGGCAGGAGGGAGGGCTGCCCAGAGGAGAGAGGCGGTGACCACTCAGGAAAGGTGTCTGCCGGCAGCCGCGAGCACCTCCCGCTCCCCACAGCCTGTCTCCTCCCCAGCCTGTCGCCTCCCTGACCTCCCAGACACCTAGGTAGGAATAATCCAACCCTAGAGGAGACGGGACCTCGGAGGTCGGCTGGTCCCATCTCTCCGGGCTTTACAGGTGCGGACACTGAGGTCCAGAGGCAGGAAAGGACGGTGCAGCCCACCCCGGGTGTCAGGGCTGAACAGGGCCAGCCTTCCAGACTCCTGCTTGTCCCCTTTTCTCTACTTCCTGAGACCTTCCTTCTCCCTCTCTCCTTCCTTCCCATGTTCCTCCCCTCCATTCCTGGAGGGGGAGAGGGAGTAGGGAGCCAGGACAGGAAAATGGCAGGGTGGGGTCAGAGGACAGGGACCCGGAGTCAGAGGACAGGGACCCGGGATCAGAGGGCCTCGGCTGGATGTGAGGTGGAGGCAGGCAACTCAGAACAGGGAGCAGCAGCACAGAGATGGACAAAGAGAGCCGGTCCCCGAGCCCTCTGGGCGTTTATGCCTTGGCCTCGGCTCCGGTCCCCGGCCCGAGAGGCCCTGCCTGGGCCGCCGCTCCCCTCGGGCACCCCGTCTCAGAGTCGCTTCGGTTTTTTCTTCTCCTTCGCCAGCCTGGCCTCCTCGGCGTCCTGGTCCTTTTCCAGTTTCATCCTGCTCACGCTCAGCGGGGTCCTGAAGTACCAGTCCTGGGTCGGGAGAGGAGGAGGGAGGAGGGGGAGGAGGAGTACACCGGCCGGCCCTCGGTCCCCCTCCTGACCTCACCCCTCCCATCTCTACCTGTGTCCCCCGCAGCCTTCTCTCCTCCCAGCCTGCGTCCTGCTGGAGCCGTGGGTGCTGCTGCCCCCGCCGGCTGCACCAGGCCAGGGTGCCAGCCCCTGCTGGGGCGAGCCCTTCTCCGCCCGCCCTGCGGCCCTCTCTGCTGTGCTCCTTCTGCCAGCCTGCCGCCCTGGGGGTGGCCGCTGACTCAGAGGTGGGGAAGCAAATGGCAGCTGGTACCAGAACCAACCACGGGCTCCCCGTCCACAAGCAGGGTATTCAGGGCCCCACTCTCGAGGAAGCCAGGGGAGCCAGTCCTGCCCACACGTCCCCTGACTTCTGTCCCCTCCCAGGCCAAGCTCCGCGGGGGAGCAGAGAGAGGAGCCCAGGCGTGCAGTGCGCCTGGGCCTTTAGAGAGCCGGCTCGCCGGATGGTGATGGCCCACCACACTCGCCCCTGGCTTCTGTCCCCGCCCCCCCGCCGCCACCAGCCCTAGTCTCACCTTCAGGGACTCCTCCTCCTCCCTGTGCACTGGCTCCAGCTTTGCCAGATGAGCCAAGAACTCTGAGGCCATCAGGGGCCGCTTGGGCAACTGCAGGATCCGCCGCTCGGTGAGCACCAATCGGATGGCTTGGAGGATGCGACTGGGCGTGTAGCCATCGGACACCTTGGCCAGGGTGCTGATGTCCAGGCTCTGGGTCACCTGGACCCCTTGGGTTTCCAGCATATGCTTCCAGAGCACTGCAGGCATGGGGGCGGGTGACACCAGGGGTCAGGGGGAGGGGACCCAGGGCAGGGGAGGCAGCGGGCGCCCCCGCCTACATCTGGAACGAGCTATGTGCTTCTGGAAAGCGAGCCTCTCCTCCCAGGAAGGAAGGGGTCACCCTCCCCTCTCAACACGAGGAAGCAAGACATGAGGACTTGGTGGCCTGTCTGTATCCAGGCAACCAGGCCAGGGCGCTCACTGGGCAGCTTGTGCAGCGCCAGCCCGTCCAGAGCTCCTGGCTGCAGAGGTGCTGCCCAGCGCAGAAGTGGGGGATGGGAAGAAGGGTGGGGAGGCTTTGGCAGGGGCGGCCCCGGACCCCTCCCCTGGCCCGTCTCCACATCCCCAGGCCCCACCGTAGCGAGAAGCGTAATCAGGCTGAGGCATGAAGAGAATCCGCTCGTAGGTCCGGCACAGCCCCTTCATCTCGGCCAGCTGCGGCTGGCTGGTGGTCCCTATCAGCATCACACGGTCTCCGGGCCCCAGCAGTTGCAGGGCCTTGGTGAGGTCCTTCTTTATTCGCTTTGGGTCCATCTGCTCTGGGGAGGGGGGGGTGGGGTTTGGGACATGGTGACTTATCCTCCGGGCCCCTCAGGGCTCAGGGCGCCTACCCATGCTCACGGGGGCCCTGAGAGGCAGACGGAGCAGCTGTCAGTCCTGCTTTAAGGATAAGGAAGTAAGGCAGGAGGAGCACAGGGGGCTGATCCAAGGCCACACAGCAGGTGACGCTTGCAGCAGCCTGCCAGGGCTCAGGCTGCCTGCCCACGGCCCCTCACCTCCTCCTCCTCCTTTGGGACCTTCTTGTAGAAAGTCTTCTCGGCATTCCCAATCCAGATCACCGAGGGCTGTAGGAGCCGAGCCACCTGGATGGGCCAGAGAGCGGACACCTGACGTTGGCTATCCCTGCGCAAGGCTCACCTGCCCGTCGGGTCCCACCCAGGGGCAGGGCCAGACTGGGGCGACGGTGACCTCGGTGCTCCAGCTTCAATTCCCACACCCTGCCAGCCCCGCCTGCCGGCCCTTCCCGCACACATCGCACCTCAGTGTGAGCTGAGCCCCTGTCCTCCCCGGGGAGTGGGGGTAGCTTCATCTTAAGCCTCACCTCTCCTTCCATTTCCCCCTCCTCCCCCATTACCGGGGCTTCAGGTGTCCGCAAGCTCCTAGCAGGGCTTGGTAAGGACCTCGCCAGCTCCTGAAGTCACACGGGCAGGGCACAGGGGTGACCTCCCCAGCACAAAGCCCGCCCTGCTCTTTTGTCACAGCCTGAGAACTAGAAGTACCAAACCTTAAAGACGATATGCACTATCATCTGCGCCCCGATCTTGCCCGGGTATTTCTCCTGCAGGTTGGTAGGTGACAGGTCGAACAGGTTGGCCCCGGTTTCTGTGCACACGGCATTGACCAGCATCTTCTTCCCCATGCCGGACGGGCCCACCAGGAGGATGGAGCGGATGAGGGGGGCCATGGAGTGTATATCTGGGGAGCCTGAGAGGGGAAACAGGGGCCAGAGGCAGGCGGTGGTCTGTCGGCGGGCGCACGGGTGGGTCACTGTGCCAGGTGAGGCCGGAGGTCCGGGGCTGGGCGGGGAGAGGTTCCGGTCCTGGCTGCACTGCCGCCCGCCCGCCGTGGCCTGAGCAGTCAGTCCCCAGACAAGCTGGCCGAGAGCAGCAGCCTGGGGGACTCCCAGCGACTTAGCACGATGACTGCACGTGGGTGTCAGAAGGGAACCCTCTGCCCCTTCCCATGTCCCTTCTGTTTCCCATGCCATCTGTTCCCACCCTTGCACTGAGAAGAAGTGCAACTAAAGGGCGTGGGACCAACCGCTTCCGAAAGACTCCAGTCTTCTGGGAATGGGGCAGGCGATGGGACGTCACTGGCGATTAAGTAACGGGCTGGAAGTGTGGGCTCCTCGACAGGCCGAGAGCCCGCATGACCTCTGGGTGGCCCAGGCTGGGCATGACCTCCAGCAGGGGCGGGGGCCGGCAGGAGGAGTCCACCACCGGTCCGGCGCGGGCCTTTGGAGCCGCAGGCTGCACGTGGCCTCCTCGGCCAGGCTCCGCCCCTCCCCCCCCCCGGCTCCCCTCCCCGGGGCCTCTCACCAAGCCTGAGGACCCCGTACAAGGCCACGTTCTGTCGAATGTCAAACAGGGAAGGCATGGGAACCTTGTTGCTCAAACTCAGAGTGGATCCAAGGTAGAGGAAGTCACCTGGGGGACAGGTGGCCGCCTGGTGAGTGGCGGCCCCTTGGGTAGGGCAAAGAAAGGGAGCCCCCTGGGGAGAAGGTCTGCCTCAGAGGGCAACGGTCGGCCGCCAGCACGGCCAAGGCGGGGGGCCCTGGGCACCGTTCCTCCGCCCACGGGCAGGCGCAGGGGAGGGCCTCACCGACAAAGTCCTTCAGGGCCACTGTCTTGCTCTTCTTAAGGAGGCCGCAGACAACGAGCTCTTCAAACAGGGAGGACACAGACCTGGCAGAGGGTGGCAGAGCAGGGGTCCCGAGGATGAAGGGACACGGAGACAGAGTTGAGTGTGGGGTATTGTCTCAGGCAGGAGGAGAGGGGCTGCGGGGCCCCCTCTGCCCCACATCCTGCGGTCAATATCAACGGTGCCACTGGACCGCCAGTGTCAGGAGCCGCGACCCCAGCCCACGGGCCCAGAAGGCCGTCTGCCCACCCACAGGGCATGCTCTGTGGGCGGAGGGGGTGTGGGAAGGACCGGCCCCCTCTGTGACACTCCGCCCCTCAGCCTGCTCCCGGCCCAAAGTCGCTCGGGTGACCCATCACCCTCTCCCTTGAAACCACATTTAAGGCACGCGCCTGGGAGGGGGGGCTGTTAAAGTAGCTAATGTCAATGTGCTCACGACCCTTTTCTCTAGAGGAGTGAGTAGAAAGGGACCACTAACAAGTCCCTTGATGCCCCAGAGTGGGATGTCCAGGGGGAGGTGGCTTTGGAGGGGACAAAGCTGCTTAAGGCAGAGTTTGGAAGGAGCGTTTAGAACGATACTCCACGACTGTCCTCCTCTGCGCCATCATTTCAAAGCATGTTCTTATGCTTCTGTGTGATTGTCACAGCTCTCCTGTGAGTTTGGCAGTAGAGGTGCTTGGTTAATCAGGACAGGGAGTCAGAGGGGTTAAGGGACTGTCCCGAGGTCACATAGCAAGAGAACCAGGACCAGCCGTCGCGCGCGCTCCACCACCCACCGTCGAGCGGAGGGTCTGCTACCTGTCCGGGGTCAGGTCTTTCTCCTTCTTCTTCCCACCTGTCTTCCCAGCTTTATTCTAGTTGGAAACAAACACGTAGGAAATTGCCCTGTGTCCTTGCCTCCCCTACCACGTGCCCTCTCCTGTCCCAGTCAGGCCCCCCATCTTGCCTTTGGAGCCTTGAAGTGTCTCTCCACCTCCCGGTCCACAGCCAGGCGCAGGTTCTTCAGCTCTTGACGCATCAGCTCATCCACCTGCGGAGAGAGCAGCGCGTGGAGGGGCTGCCGGGGCGGGGTGGGGGTGGGGAGCGGGAGGGCCGGCGGGAGAGGCGATGGTGGAGGCCGGGGTGGAGAGGGCGACAGCAGCCTCAGAGCAGAGTCCAATGAGCCCAGTGGAGGCAGCAGGGGGCCACCAACCTTCCTGTGTTGGTTCTTCCGGAATCTGTGGCCTTGGCACTTGGCCCTGGTCCCTGCATCTTTCCCCATTCAGTCCAAATCCATATTCTGCTCATGCAAGAGCCCTGCTCTCACCTGGCATCCGTGTGGGGAGAAGCCCCCGGGGGGAGTAGGCGGGCTTTCAGCTGACGCCCCAGACCCACTCGTTAGTGGCCGTGTGGCCACGAAGGGTCGCATGGCCTCAGTCTCATTTTTTCACAAGTCACATTGGGAAAATCATGGTGCTCACCTCAGGGGTCATTGGGAAGATCACGCCACCAAACTTCCCGGGGGCACATGGAAGGAGCTCTTTGAGTGTTGGTGAGGATAATGGTGGGTGCGACCCCGGCTCAAGGCACCCCCATTCCCTCACCTCCAGGCCGGGGGGAGAAAGAGGGGCCCGGGGAGGCAGAGGACAGTGGGGACAGAGACGGGCCGAGATGGGCCATGCAGGAAGGCAGTGCCTAGTGGACGCTACACAGGATGAGCAGGCTGTGGGCGCGAGGAGAGCGGGGACAGAGGGGGCAGAGCCCGAAGCAGCTGGGGGCCCTGTGGGGAGCAGGGCCCTGCAAGGAGGCCCCGAGCCAGCGCGCCCACCTGGATCCGGATCTCCTGCTCCATTTCCTTCCTCTTCTCCACCCGGAGGGCCTCGGAATCAAAATCCTGCTTGGGGAGCCTGCCGTCATGCCGGTTCTGCCACACACCTGAGCGCAGGGAGACGGAGGGGGTGCGGGTCAGAGCCCGGGTGTACTCACACGCACACACCCGCACGCCCGCGCACGCGGGCCAGGAGCCTGACCGAGGCTGGTCCGCCTCTGCCTCCCTGTGTCCCTCTGTCCCTCTGTCCGTCTCTCATACCCCTGCGCACACGCAGGCCAGGAGCCTGACGCCAGCCTCACCCTGTTACCAGACACTGCTCCTCCCCAGGCCACAGAGAGAGGCCTGATCCGAAGGCCTGTGACCGCAGGATTCAGACCAAACCTGTAACGCCCCCTTCCTGCGTCCCCCTTTGGCATTGTCACCCCCAGTGCGCCACCTCCTGGCCCGCACGGCACATGTCCACTTTGCCCAGGACCAGGGGTCACTCCGAGGCCCCACAGGCCCGCACAGCTCCCCAGCCGCCGCGCCCCTTACTTTTATACTCCTCATGCCCAGCGCTGATCAGGGGTATAGATTTGGAGGGCAACACTTTCAGCATTGCATCTGCTTCCTAGAACAGAAACACCCTTTGACCTTGAGCTCCTCACCTTCACCCTTCACAAACTCTGACCCCAGTTCTCACCCAGCCCAGCCCTCCCACCAGGTGACGGTCCTCTGAGACCCGGCTCCCGGCCCCCTCGGTCCTCCCGTCCAGGCGCTTGCCTCACCCCTTTTCCGGTCTTGTCTTTTGCCCCTTTCTTCTCTCTTTCCTTTTTTTGGTCTTGGTCCTTTTTTTTGCTCTCCTGGACCTGCATCTCCAGTTCCATTTTCACCTGTGACCAAGGATAAAAGAGGTTTTGGAGAAGACCAAGGGCGTGTTATAGGAGCAAGAGAACCCAGGGCCTGGGGCTGGGGTGGACTGAGGCCTGGGGAACTTGTGGGTCCAGATGGCTGAGTCTCTGGAGACTTCCCTGGGGTCCAGGAGGAGGGGCCCCCGGTGACCAAGCGCTCTGACCAGGGCGGCTGCTCTCTCTGGGCCCGCGGGTGGCAGAGCTACAGTAGCCTCCGCAGACATTCCCGCTCCGCGGCCAAGGGCGCCTTCTCCGGACAGGGGGGCCCCTCGCCCCGTGCAGCCTTCGTCCCTGTATAGATGTCCCCGGCCCCTCAGCCTGCATTGAGGCGGCCCTCGCCCCGCCCCCCAGGGCCACCCTCCGCTTATGCTCAGTACCCTCTGCAACCTCAGACCAACCAGCCCCAGAGGGCCTCCTGCCCCCCTTTTCCACCGAGGGTACCTGTTCTGGAGTCTTGTCTGAGAAGATCAGGTAGGACCCACCTGAAGACTCATCTGGGTAATCAGGGAATTGGCCAGTAAGGGCGCTAAGTAAACACAAGATGGTGGGAGAGATGGGCAGGTGGGCGGAGGAATGGAGGGCCGGTGGGCGGGCGAGGGGTGGGTAGAAGGGTGGGCAGACAGATGAAGAGACGGTAGCGAGGAGCATGGGGAGAGATAAAGGACCAGGAAGACGGAGGGAGAGCAGGAAGGAACAGACAGTCACAGAATAGAAAGGACAGGTTACTCAGGGGGTGTTCCTGACACTTTCCCCATTTTATTCTGGCATTTTCTCTTCCCTGTGGGGAAACAGGAAGTCGTGTGTGGAGATGGCCCTGCTGGTTGGGGCCCCCAGGTCTAAGCCCATGTGCCAGCAACATGTGGGTGGCAGGGGGGTGCATGGAGACAGGGCCCAGGCTAGACCAGGGGACAAGACAGGGCTGGGCGGGGGCGAAGAGGGGCAGGGGTTGGCGGTTGAGTCGGCTGAGGCTGGGGACACTGACTGGCACTCGATGAACCACTGTCGGATTTGCTCCTGAATCCTCTCCTTCATGGCGGGCCCCTCGGTCTCTCTGAGGTAGCTCTGGACCTTCACCATGGCCGATTGGAGCTCCTCCTCCTTCTCCAGCTGGAGGAGCCTCCTGGCATCCTCCCCGCGACCAGCCTGGGACAGGACACCCAAGGGCTCCTCCGGGCTGGGCGATGGGAGCTGGGGACGTGGAGAGGGGGCCGAGGGACTCAGAGTGCGGGGGCCCCGGCCTCAGGCCCACACACCTGCCCCCGCGCATCCCCAACACATGTGCCTCGCATGCACACCCGCACGGAACGCCGGGCATGCCTGCATCGGGAGAAATTGTGTTTGGAGCCGAAACTCGTCTGTGTAAATTACTCTGATAATGAGTTTGCTAGATGCATCCGGGCGGGCCCCCCTGCCCGCTCTCTCAGCACACCCTCCCCTGCGAGCCGGCGGCCCCAGCCCCCACCCGCACCCCCGCCCAGCGCCCGCCTTGGCAGCCTCGCTCGCAGCCACTTTCCCGCCTCATTGGCTCCCAAATGTATTTTAAATATCACTGTGCGCAGAGACAATTACTGAAAACGCTGAGCTCACACTGCTGATGGGCCCGGGCGGCCGGGCTCATTCCTCACCCACTGCCGCGCCATGCCCCCCTGCCCCCGCCCCACCAAAGCCTGACCCCGGGCCTCCTGGGGGCTCAGCTCCTCAGCCCCCCAACAAGTCTCGGACCTCCATTCCTGTGCAGCAAACCCTGGCCCCTCTCTCCTCTGAAGCCCCCAAGCCTCCTGGAGGGGCCATCCCGGCCCAGTCTCCCGTCCCTCTGGGGCCCCTAGCCCCCTGTATCAGCCAGGCCTCCGTGGGCTCTGGCCACCGCAAAGCCCCATCCCAGGGGCCCTATCCCTTGCCCCGTCGCCCGGGGTGACCAGCTGGAGGAAGGAAGCATCGGAGAACAGAGGCCAGGCCAATCCAGCGAGGAGGGCCTGTTCACGGCCTGCGCACGCAGCCGGGGTCTGCCCCCTCACCCCCTGCACGCACCCACGTGCACACTCACGCTTACCTTGTGGCAGTCGCACTTAGCCCTTCTCCTTCTGTGCAGAGGAGAAGCAAGTCTGGGGCCCCCAGAGCAAGTGGGGAGCCCATGGCCCTAAAAACGCTCCCGGGCGAGTGCTGTGCCCCATCTCAGATGGGCCCTGTGGTTCTCCCACTGGGCGGGGGCTTTCGCACCTCTGCTGGGCCTGGCCGAGCAGCCCCTCCTCCAGCCTGGCACGCAGATATGGCGTCCAGGATACACAGTGCTATGATCCCTCCTCCCATGCCCACATTTGAGATCCCTTTAGGGGCTCTAGGAGAGGGCAGGTGGGCAGGGCCATGGCCTGACCAGGGCTGTCCTGTCCTTCCCTTTTTCTCAGCCAAACCCCGAAGGACCCTTTGGGTCCCCCAGCGCTGGCCGGGCCCTTCCGGCACGCCCAGCCCAGTCCTGAGTAGGGGTGCTGTGGGCGGCGAGGGCTGTATGGGCCACACTCTGGTGGGGGGCACAGGGCGGTGAGCCGAGGGGAGGCGCGCCTTGCTCTGGCCAGCCCTGGGCCCCCCCCCCGGCCCCCACCGCAGCCAGGGCAGGACTCACCATGCCGATGAACTCCATCTCCCTTTGCCGGTCCTGCTGAGTGCGCTTCCTCTGCAGGTAACCCTTCCACACCTAAGGGGACACAGGCCCGGACACTCCCCACACTGCATGTCTCCGGGACTGCGGCTCCAGGGCTCAGCCCAGGGCGGAGCAGCAGCTACTCTCTCCAGAAGGTCGGCTACCAGAGGTTTGGGTGGGAGGTGGAGGGCAGGCTGGGGAGGCGCCTGAGCAGAAAGGCCCAGAGCAGGGCGGGGCAGGGGAGCAGCCAAGCCATCCAGCTCCAAGGCTTTGTTCCCTCAGGCCCCCAGGCCCCCAGAAACCCCCTCCTCATCCCCAGCCTTGAACCTGCTGCATCTTTTGAGGCACAGACCAAAGTGCCACCTCCTCCAAGAAGCACTCCAGTCTCAGCATATCCATAGCCTTTGAAGTAAAGACTCGATTCCACCCAGGCACATAACCGTTAGTGCCATGGGGACTCTGGAGTGCCCTGAATTAATTCCTACATTTTCGACACAAGGAAACTGAGGCTGGAGGCGGGACACGGTCTCTCTCAGGCCCAGAGCCTGTCACTGCGGAGCTGAGACCAGGGCGGGGTTTCCCGACCCGTCGCCCAGACCGTCAGCTGCTCTAAGGCCTGTGACAGCCTGGTGCCAGCAGGTGGAGGGGGGCACCCAGCAGAGGGAGCAGGGCCGGCTCCTGCCCCGGCTCCTGGGACCAGCAGAGGCAAGACCCCCAACAGCGGCCTTTGATTAGTGTATGTACCGGACAACTTGAAGATGGGGAAGTAGGATTTCCATGCTTTGATGTCTGGCAACAAGGCCAGAGTGACTTGATTTGTCTCCCAAGGGGAGGTACGGCTCTATCTTTGGGCCCTTCTCTCAAAAGTCTCGCTTTACCGAGCCCTGCAGGCGAGGGCCGCCACCTCCTCCGTGGGGAGGCCGGACATTGGGCTGGACACCCAAACACAGGGGCTCCGACTGGGACACTCTGCTTAGTGGTCAATAATCAAAAGCTATCCCACGTGTAAAGGATATCTGTTCTCAGGGGGGATGTCTGTTGGTTGACTGGTTTGCTTTTGGGTTTTGGTAGAAGGCGGTTCTAAGTTTCCTCTGTTGGGCTGGCAGACAGAGGATTTTGAGGCCCGGGTCTTGAGGGAGGAGGAGAGACAAGCCCAGCCCCACGCCAGTCACCCTGGGCCTGCGTCCGGGAAGGAAAGGTGGCCAGGGACTCCTGCGACCGCGCAGGACTCGGAACCCGGAACTCTGGAGTGGGGCGTTTACAGCGAATGCTGTGGGAATTCCCAGCCGCGAGAGTGGCGAGCACTCCTTGAGGGTGGCAGTGCCGGAACTCTGGGCCGGGGCCCCTTTCTGCAGTGACATTGTCCCGCGGCCCCTCCGGCATCGTCAGGCTGGTAGCCTCTGCCGCCCCGCCTCGTGGGCCATGAGAGACAGGTGGGCCCACATGCTGAGGGGACAGCGGGGGCTGGGAGGTGTGGAATGGCCGCCAGAACAGTGAGACGGCACAGGGGCAGCGGGGGACGGGGTGGCGGCTCTGCAGTGAGCAGGATGGGGTACGAGCACGTCAGTCCCGTGTTAAAGGAGAGGGTGACTCCAGACGGCCCAGACGTTGAGGACGCCTGGATCACATCATGTTCTCTTCATCACATTTCCCTTCGCCTCAGCCGCCAGGAGGCTCAGGGTACCTGTTAGTGACTTGTTTTTAACAGTCTGAAGAGTTTCTGAAATGATCATTTTGTCCTGCTACCTAATTCTGATCCTTCTCCCCTAATTATAAGATCCTTTTGTTTCTAGGGCTTTTATGCTATCCCACTTCAAGTCCTTTTGGGGAAAAAGATGTGCAATAGAATAAATAATGACCAAATAAGATACATGATTGTTGACTTATAAAGGTCCCTCATTTAGGATCTAGTTTTGTGGCCACGGCATCCAGGCACCTGCAACCTCTGTCATCAATTGCTAAGCCAGGTGGGCTTCCTGGAGGAGGTGACTGCCTTGTCCTTCTTTCTGGATGCTGTCGCGTTACCTTCTGAATGGTGATAGCTGCCTGGTCCTGGCTGAACTTGGGCCGCCCGCCCTCCCTCATCTTCCGATTCCGCTCCTCCTCTCTCTGAATCTCGCGAACGAAGGCGGCTCGGAGCCGGCCTTGCCTGGCCCGCTCGGCTGTTTGCAGCAGGGTTATAGCGTCAGCCCGGGAGATTTCTGGAAAGCGCTGGCCAGGGCCAAGAATGAGGAAAGGCTTGCTTTCAGGTGAGCAGCTGGGAAACCAGACACAAGGACAAGCTGGGGGCGGGGTCCTCCCTGAGCATCTGGGTGCTCTAGTGCTGCCCCTTTGTCTTGGTGGTGGAAGGTTACAAGGACTTAAGAGCAGCCTTGAAGGAGGCCAGAGGTTACCCAAAGAGCACTCTCAGGTGGGTGCAGGGTGGGCTGGCATCTCTGTTCCAGGAGCAGGGGCTATGGGAGGGGTCTGGGGGGTGTCCCCTTGACTTGCCTCCAGAGGGGACACTGGCTGTATCCTGCCCAGGATCTCTGCCAGCATGAGCGCTCGCTCGTGCAGAGTGGTGGACTGCTCCCGCCGGAAGTATTTGGGGATTGGAACCTCCAGGTCTGCCTTTGGGGCAAGATGGGGGACGGAGAGTCGGGAATCAGGAACCGGGCTGTCCGGCTGATCCGTTACTATTTTGGCTGCTTATACAGATCTCAGCACCATTTTCTTCCAGGCTAGAGCCCCGCCGTGAGAATGTGTCCTCCCTCTCTCCCCTGCCTCGACCGTGTGGCCAGAGTTGAATCCCAGAGGATGATGTTAACAGGCAGTGGCTGCAAAGCTGGCCATGCACCAGAATCGACTGAGAAGCTCTTAAAATGCAGGCTCCCAGGCCTTCCCTAGACCTCCACATCAGAATGGCAGGGCGTGGAGAATCTGTTTGCTTGTTTGTTTGTTTGTTTGTTTGTTTGTTTTTCCAAGTCCACAGCCGAGTCTGATGCAGGTGGCAGGGAAGCTGACCCTGCCTCGGCCGGAGCAGTGAGCCGCGCCCTTGGGGCCCATGGCGGGAGGCCGCCGCTGGAGCTCTGTGCTCTGGAGCCTGCTGGTGCATTCAGATCACCTGAGGGTCTTGTTAAAATGCAGGTGCAGATGAGTAGGTTTGGGGTGCAGCCAGAGATTCCGCATTTCTAACAGGCTCCTGGGTAATACTGATGCTGTTGGTCCCAGGACCGCACTTTGAGGAGCAAGCCTCTTAGAGGACTCTTTGCTGTTCCCCCGCAGTTCATGAGTCTTCCCAGCCACGAGAGACCTCCAGCCAATCCCACATCTACTTGCATGCACCCCCACCCCCACACGCACCCCATCCCCGAAGCCCCTCTCGCGAGACCCAGTCGCATCCCCCATGCATCTGCGTGCCCTCCCTCTCTCGCAGGCTTCCCAGGGAGGTGAAGACCAGCCCCACCCCCACCCTCCGCTGGCGTGGGCCTGGCCCTGCGCTGCCACCGCACCGGAGTGAGCTTGCAGTCCTGCAGCACGTGGTCCAGGCAGTGGAATTCGCGCAGGTCTGCGCGCACCATCTCCTCCTTGAGCTCCAGGACGCGGCCCGCCACGCTGTCCAGCAGGCGCCGTAGCAGCCGGCGCTTCTGCGGCTGCACCATCTGGTCGTAGAGGGTGTCGAACTGGCGCAGCAGCCCCAGGTAGTACAGGAAGAGCACCGAGAGCCGGTACTGGAAGGACTTCCGCTGCCGTTTGGGCACCGGTTGGAGCAGGGGCTGCTCCTGGTCCAGCAGCTCTTGCAGGGTCACGTGGGAGGAGTCCCAGAGGCGTTGGTAAGCTCTGGAGAAGGAGGCAGCGTGCGCTGGGGTGCTGTGCACATCAGAGGCGTGGGAATGTGGGTGTGGGTGGTGGGGGGCGTGGATGCTGCTGAGCCTTTTGAGGAGTGTGGACTCAGGTTGCAGAAAGTGTGAGGTTAAGGTGGAGCTCGGTGTCGTGAGAGCTCCTCAGGGGGAGGAGAGGGTAGCCCGGGGCTTGGGGGTGTGAGGTTGGGGTTCCCATGGGAGAGAAGAATGGCCGCGGCTCTCAGGGGCTCCCTGCAGGGAAGAAGCCCCTCTGAGTCAGCAGGCAGCAGTCCATCCAGCGTGAGGGTGCAGCGCCGGGTGGTCTGAGATGATGGGTGGCAGGTGGGGTGCGGGGTGAGTGCAGAGCAAGGTCCCTTCCCCAGGGCAGAGCCCTGGTTCTGGACTTCACAGTCCAGAGAACGTCTGAGGAGCGAAAGCTGACTGCAGGCTGGGGCAGCCGGGGTTGCTGTATGACAGTCTGTGGGCCAGGCCAGCCAGCACAGACCCCGCCCCGTGGCCCCAGCCCAGCAGGACCGTGAGCAGGAGGCAGCTGGCTCTTTGCTTCCCCAGCCCTGGGGGCTCCACTCCAGCCCCCACTCACCCCTCAGACATGGCGCCCCCTCCCCACACTGTCCTTGTTGAGCTGGTCGCAGACTAGTGGACCTCTGTGGTTCCACTCTGACTCCACCCCCAAAAGAGCCCATTGTCCCAATGTTCTAAGGCTGTGAGGGGGACAATGGGGGACCCATCACAGAGGATGTTCTGGAAGCAGCACCATGAAGGGAGGGCCGGCTCCCTCATAGCAGGCCTGGGAAAGTTAGGGCAGAATGTGGGGTCAGCTTTTCTTGTGAGGATCAAATAAAAGAATGGGCCGTGTTGGAAGTCACCCAGTAACAGCAAGGCTCTGGTGAATGTGAGCCCTAAAAGTATTGCTGCAGCTGCGCATCTCAGCTGGGGGAACCGCATACTCCTTAATGCAGACCCAGCCCCGTTTGCCCTGCTACATGCCTGCCCTGGAGGCCCAGGGGACCATTCTTCGGAAAATACAGCACATTATCTCCTGACTCTGCTCAGCGGGCGGTGACCTCTTTGGCTCAATGTTAAGTAGGGACTTGATTATATACATACCTATGGTCCTGGGCAAAAGGAAGGGGCGAGGGGCAGCGACAGCAAAGAGGAGCCAGACAAGAGTTCTCAGGTGTTAGTGTGCATGTGAGTTACCCGAGGATCTTGTCAAAATGTGGGTTCTGACGCCACGGTCTGAGGCGGGCCTGAGATTCTGCATTCCTAATGAGCTCCCAGCCAGGCAAACGCCACTGGTCTCGGAATGGCACCTCGAGCAGCAAGCTGGGAAGCCCACTGGGAAGCCCCCTGGGAGCCAGAGACAGTGGGGCTCAGGGGCCGGAGCAAGGCCTGCCCCCTTGTAGCTGCGGGACCCAAGCGTGGATAGTTAGCTCTCCTCTCGCACCCCCATGTGAGGCTCTTTATATGAGAAAGTGAGTGGGAAGGATAGCAGCCACTGCTGCAGAGCGTATTCTCAGCATGTGGCGCTGAAGGCACAAGCTGAGTCTATCCAGTCACAGGGCGGACATAGGGAATTTGGGACTTGGTCATGGACTCCTGCCCTTCCACCCCATCCCTCATTGCTTACGGGAGCATTTACAGGCCCCGCGTCTGCAAGCTGGAGCAGAGGCTGAATGAGAGAAAAAACGCCTGGGGTCAAGTGTGAAGTGGTGAGCCTGGGCGAGGGACATACAAGTGGCCATCATACTTTCTTGCAATTTTTCTGTGGGTTTGAGATTTTTCTAAATAAAACTGGGAGGCAAAAAAAGTCAGGAGTCCCAAAACCTCCCCACCAATCTGTTCTGAAATGAAGGAGAAGAAAACGTTGGGGGTGAATGAAAACATCTCAGATCCCAGCAGGCTGTTTGGAAGCTGGTTGAGACCTTCCATTTTGTATAGTGAAGAATACACCTGTGTGGCCTCCTGTGCCCAGCAAGGGACCGAAATGATACTTCGCCAGAAATGGCATCAAAAATGTGGTCTTAAGAAATGACACGGGGAATTGCAGGCCCAGAGAGGGCGTGGTGGAAACAGCCGGCCAAGTCCAATGTCAGATTCGGCATCCAACCTTTGGGTATCTCTGGCCACACTGGTAGAAGAAGAGTTGTCTTGGGCCACATACATTAAATACATTGCAACACATAATCACACACACACAAAAAAAAGTCTCATCATGTTCTAAGTGAATTTGCGATTTTGTGCTGGGCCGCATTCAGAGCCATCCAGAGCCTCACGCGGCCCGCAGGCCGCTGGTTGGACACCTCTGCTAACATTTACCACATGCGCTCATGGGGTACACCCAGAAAGCAGGGTTTTTTTGTTAAGTGTGTTATTATCCCACCTCGGTGGCCATTAAAAGTGATAATGCCCTTGTCCCAAAGCACACCTCATCTTCACGCTTCCCTTTCTGAAATCACCACAGTGCACGGGAGCAGTTCACCCTTTATTTAGCTTAGGCCCCGGGTCACTTGGCACTGGTGTACTTGGTGACGGCCTTGGTGCCCTCGGACACGGCGTGCTTGGCCAGCTCCCCGGGCAGCAGCAGGCGCACGGCCGTCTGGACTTCCCGGGACGTCAGTGTGGTTCGGCCCGAGTACTGGGCCAGCCGGGCGGCCTCGCCGGCCAGGCGCTCAAACACATCATTCACAAACGAGTTCATGATGCTCATGGCCTTGGAAGAGATGCCGAGGTCAGGGTGCACCTGGGGGAAACGAGAGCAGGACCGCTTTAAGGAGAGGGCGCTGCCCGATGCCCCGCCCCAGGCTGTGGATGCCAGACTGTAAGGCCACCTCAGCCCCTCTTCCCAGAGGCCAAGAGACGTGGAAATAGGGATTCGTTTTATACGGCCGCATCCCAATTAAAAAAAAGCAAACATTTCTCTTAACTGCAAGAGGTAACGCTATCAAGTCCCTGCATACGCACATGTCAGCATCTATCTTTAAGGAATGGAATTGGTTACACAGCATTTTGCTTTTTCCATTGAATGCATTTACATAGTGTTTCAGAGTGGGGAGGAATCATAGCTTATATCACCATTCCTCTTAATGGGCATTTAGGGGTTCTGTTTTCTTGCCATCAGATTGTGCTATAACAAATACACATCTTTGAACACTTGTAAGGAAGGTTATTTCTAGACGTGGGACTGCCAGAGCAGAGGGTGTGTGCACTTAAGTTGGTAGACTGTCACCAAATTACCCTCTGGAGAGCACACCTAGGTGTCCCGGTCTCAGCATTGGACAAGTGAGGAGACCAGGTTCTGTGGCTGGACCGTGACTCACTCTGTCACCTCGAATAAGGCGCTTTCCGTGGCTTCAGTTTCATCTTGTGTCACCACACACTTTTGAACTAGGCGATCGCTAGTAAAAACAAGCGGCGGGGACCTGATACCATCCTAAAACGTGAGTAGGTGGACAGTAAGCGATTCTCTGTACAGCGGGGGACAGGTGACTCGCCAGTGACGTCCATCACGCCCCTGGTGGAGCCAGAACCAGACGCCTCCGGCAACTGACAACAGGTCATCTGAGCCCACGCGAGGCTGGTAGAGCCTGGAGCCCGGGTGTCAGGCTCACATCCCTTTCTCCTCGGGGCTGCTGGCGGGGTGCAGCCGCGGCTCCCCCCATGAGGGGTCTGCGGGGGGCGTGGGTGACTCTCAGCAGCTCTCCTCTGCAGGGCCAGCCCTGGCCTGAGCCCTCTTGCACAGTCTGGAGACCCAAAGATAGGCTACGCTGCAGGGCTCACTGACAGCCCCGCCCCCTCCCCCGCCACTTCTGTCAGAACACTGGAGTCAGTCCCCTGGGCTGCCCTCCGGGCCACCCCGCCCCACCATTCCCAGAGACAGGGCTGTCCTGTCACTGAACCTGCTCACAGCAGTCAGCGGGGTGGGAGGCAGCGGAGGGGCAGGCTCCACCTCTGGGATCTCATCTGAGGCGGGGGTGAGAACCTCAGCAGATTGGAGAGACCTGGGCAGGGAACAGCCACGCTGCCTCCTCTCGGCCCCCGCTCTGCCTGGGGTCCTGCAGACACACTGGTTGCTGGAGACCCACTGGCGCCCCCAAAATCTTGCCAGTGCACGTGTCCCAGGAGTCAGTGCTCCTCAGAGGTGCGTGGGGGGGCTGCCCGAACAGACAGGGTGCCTTGGGTTTGGGGGGACCCGCAGGGCGTATTCCAGGCCTTGGCCAGAGCGGGTGGGGCTGAGCTTGGCCGCTGCCGGCCCAGTGACCCTGGGTGGGCCTCAGGCTCTGCCAGCCCTAGCCCCTCAGGGACTGAGTGCCGTGTGTCTGTGAGGCTGCCCCGGAGACCGAGTTCACCCGAGGTGCTCCTTGCTGTAGCTGGCGCTCCCTGGAACGTCTTGTTTGCCCCGTAACGTGCTTGGCACCCCATCGATCACCTTCAGCCCAGCCCTTTCTCCTGGTCTTCTCTGTCCTTTAATTGTGTGCCACCTAATACTCCACATCATCATCTTGTCTGTCCAAAAGCCCTGTAAGCTTCTGGAGGGTGGTGGGGAGCCTATTTTAAATGTCCCCTGCAATCACAAGTGCACAGCAGGTACTGAGACAGGTAGGGGCCCTCGAGATCAAGCTCAACCACCTCCGGGGGTACCGTGTGCGTGAGGCCACTCCTCTCAGGCCAGGACCAAACTGAGTCCTGACCCTCAGGCCAGCGCCCTTCCAAGGCTCTTGGCCAGCACCGTCTATGCACACGCCAGCCCCGGCTCTCACCTGCTTCAGCACCTTGTAGATATATATCGAGTAGGTTTCTTTGCGCCGGCTACGCTTTCTGGACTTCTTGTCTCTGGAGTGACGGCCCTTTCGGGCCCCAGGCGGCTGCTGTCCATGCCCCTTGCCCATCCTCCTCCTCCTCCTCCTCCTCCTCCTCCTCCTCACACAGCTGCCTCCCGCTCCTGGGGGCCACGTTTATGAAGTTAGCAGCAGCAGGCCAGGTGGGGCTGGGGACCAGCACCTGGGGTGGAGGGGCGGGGCTTGGCCCAGCGCTATCCAGAACAAGCTCGGGGTTTACCTTGAAGGAGACAATTGCTTCTCCTCTCCCCCAAGTGATTTCTTGTCTCTGAATAAGAAGCCCTCCACACCCCGCTCCTCCGGCAGATCATCCCCCAAGGCGTCCCAGCCTGGGTAGGGCGCACACACCAGCAGACAGTCACGCAGCCACCCAGCACCCACTGTGCACACAGCACAGTGCTGGTCAGGAGGGACATGGGCACGTGCTGCCCCCAGAGCCCCGGAATACAGAGGAAGAGACAGGACTGGTTCACAGGGAACAATCAGGGAAAAGTCAAGGGCCACAGTGTGTGCTGGGGACAGTTCAGAAAACTCAGTGGGGGCTACCGTGACCAGAGGAGGTGTCAAGGAACAAATGGGGATTTGTAACTGGTCTTGTAGGATGGCTACCGCTCAGCTGGGGAGAAGGGAGGTGAATGGAATTGGGAAGAATGGGAAAGGTACACGGTGTGAAAAGCAGAGAGGAACCAAGGGGAGGGCAGCAAGGCTGCTGAGGGGGAGGGTGCAGTGGGGACACAGCGCTGGGAGGCCTGGGGGCACCCAGGGACACACACAAAGCAGACGACGGGGCGGGGGAGGGGAGGGTGGTCCCCGTGGGAGTGAGCGGCACACAAGGGGAGGAAAAGGCGGCTGCTAAATGGAGCTCGTTGCCTCCCCTTGCACCTGCCGCGGGGGCCGTCATTCCAGGCCCTCGAAGGCTCTGATTGAAGGAACCTGAAGCCACATGGAAAGTACAGGCTGCAGGGAAGGCTGTGTGAACCGGGGAGGCGCGGGAGGGCCGCGAGGGCGAGCGCACCTGTCCGCGGGCGGAACGAGTCCGAGCGCGCCCCCTGCGCGGCCGCGCCCCGGCACTCCGTTCCCGGCGTCCCGCCGCGTCTCGGAGGGGCTGGCCGGCCGATTCCTCATCCAGAGCAAGGCGCTGCTCATGTTAGGCCTTGGCCGGGGTATCTGTGCTGTGTGGGCTTTGTAAGCATTCTTAAGATTTCTGAGACTGGCTTCTCTTTCGGATCGTTGAGCCGCCGCCGTTCCTTGGGTTCTGAAGCACCCCCATCCCTTGGCACCTCAGGTACACCACACAGGGACCCAGCGACCTTCAGGGGAGCTCGTGACACAGCCCAGCCCACCCCACCCACCGCTCACTCTCGACGTTGTTCTCCCCCGAGCCAGGGCAGACGGACAGGCCACTGTGCTCCGGGCCCTGCTTAGGGCACCAAGCAGCAAAGCCAGGCCTCAGCTACAGCTTCTCATGTGACGTTCACTTACTGTCCCTCTGCACCGCCCTCCTCCCCCCAGTTCTTCCACCTCTTGGCCACCTGAGAAGATCTTCTCATCTTTCCTGTTAAAGTCCCAAGCCCCGCCTTTCTGGAAAACTTCCCTCCCTTTGAATGCTGTGTCCTAAGACCAAAGTCACCAGTTAGCATGATTTATGCCACCTTGCTCTCTGGTCTCGTTGGCTTTCTCATTGCATCACGAGCCCTTCGGGGGTTCGGCACCAGCTGGGGCTTGGTTTAGCCTCTGATGGGCTGTGTGGTGGGCCCTGGAACGCCCTGGCTGCCGAGGTCTCCGGGGGGCGTGAGGAGTCTGCGGGTGAGGACAGCGGCAGTGCAGAGCGGGGAGCTTCGGTCAGGCTCCCACAGGCGGCGCGGCGCCTTGGGCTGGAAGTCGGGCAGTGCCAATGAAAGCGAAGGCTGGGGCCAGGCCCAACAGTGAAACTCCCTGCGTGAGGCCAGGGACAGCATTTCCCGGGTTTTGGTGTAAGAAAGCGACTCCTGACCATTTCTGCCCCTCCCCCACATAGAATCAAGAGGTCTGGAGCCTGGGAAGCGTCCCAAGTGTTGTGGTCCGGGTCACACGTGGCAAGAGAGCCTCGGGCCACTCAGAAAAGCCTGGCCCTGGAGACTAGTTCTCCAAAGGAGGTCCTGGCCAGCAGCGTCAGCCTTACCTGGGAACTTACTAGAAACGTCCCTTCTCAGTCTTACCCCTGAGCTACTGAACCAGGAACCCTGGGGAAAGACCCATTACCCTGTGCTCTAACGTGTCCTCCAGGTGGTCCTGACTGCGTTCAAATCTGTGAACCATTAGCCCGAGAAAAGCCACAATTTCAAACCAGCAAAAAGGACAGAGAGTTCCCCTGGATCCTATGGACTAGTCTGCAGACCGCACCCTTCCCAACACCCACCCAGCCCTCGCTGAGGGGGAACGACCGACCGCTGGCAGTGCGGGGTGGAGGGGAGCAAGGGGCCCACCAACCCAGGAGGCAGCCAGAGACCATGGCTTCTTCTCTCTTTATTGGGCGCTTTGTAGATGTCACGCAGGTCTAAAAGTTACACTGTTAAATAATTATTTAAAAACCGATCAGGACTACAGCCCTGATCCAGAGCTCCAAACCAGAAGCAGAAAGGAGTGGGGGCGGTGGGCTGGGGGTGTTCCTCCAACATCACCAAAACCCAGAAAGCCAGGATCCTAAGCTCCTTCACAAGCCAACCAGGGTGTGGGCCCTTGGGCCAACCCTCAGATGCCTCTGGCTGCATCACTTGGGGTCAGGAACCAGCAAGTGGCTGGCAGGAACCGCCAGCTGAGTCCAGACATGGACGAAAATCATTGGAAGGACAGGAAACGGACAGGTACTGTCCAGCTGTAGATAGGATCACAGAGTGCAGCTAAGGCAGGTGGGGGCGGGGGTGGCTGGGGAGCGGTATTGCAGCGATGCAGGTGTGCGGCCCCGCGGCCCGGCCCGGCCCGGCCCGGCCCGGGGCTCACACGTTGTGGGTCCTCCTGGTAAGCTGGGGCTCCTCACCCACCAGCTTGGACTTGAGGTGCTCCTTGTAGGCCAGGATGTCTCCAGGCCACTTGGTGATTGTCTGCTTCTCACAGACCCAGATCTCTTGCGCTACCTACAAAGCAAGTCCCGGACTTAATCAGCCGGGCCCACGCTCTCCCATCCCCACCCGCCCAGGAGACCGCTCTCAGGGAATTCCAGGCAGGAAACGCGGCAGCCTCCCAAGCCCCTTCGCCAGCCTCGCGTCCAGCTCCCGGCTGGTTTCACTACCTCTGTGTTCTTTGGGGTGTCCTAACCCAAGGGTCCTGTAACCAGCAGGTTAGGAGCCCCCTCAGCTGCAACCCGCCATGTCCTCCCAATTTCCAGTTCCCTCGGGGGACCCAGAGGCGTCCGGAAGCTTCACTCCCAGCTCCGCCCCCACCTTCCCCAAAGCTCCAGGGAAATGACCGGCAGCTTTTTCACCGAAGACTGGTGGCAGCCCCCTGTTTAATCAAAATCCTCCCTGGTGCCCTGGCTGATGCAGCTCAGCGGGCTGAGCCCCAGCCTGAGAACGGAAAGGTCGCCAGCTTGATTCCTGGTCAGGGCACAGGCCTGGGTCACAGGCCAGGTCCCCAGTTGAGGGCGTGTGAGAGGCAACTGATCAATGTTTCTCTCTCTCCCTCCCTCCCTCCCCAAAAATAAATCTCTTTTTAAAAAATCTTCCTTAGCATACTACTACCACCTTTAGGCTGAGGGTCCTCAGGACAGCAGTAAAAGCGCCCTGTTCTCTCCAGCTCCCTCCCTGACTCCGTCCACCACCACCAAGGGGGCTCAATCCCCAAACAGCTCCTGAAGCCGAGCCCCTTTTCCAAATCCAATACACGTGTTACATGCCCCCTACACGCCACGACAGTCCTCCACCCAACCTTCTCCTACGTGCCCTGGGCCAGGCCTCTCACCGCAGCCAGGAGCCTCACCTGCTGAATGAGCCTGAAGTCGTGGCTGACCAGCATCATGCCACCCTCAAACTCGTTGATGGCATCTGCCAGGGCGTCGATGGTCTCAATGTCCAGGTGGTTGGTAGGCTCGTCCAGGAAGAGCATGTGGGGGTTCTGCCAGGCCAGCCAGGCCAGACACACTCGGCACTTCTGCCCATCAGACAGGTTCCGGATCGGGCTCACCTGAGTGCGGCCGTGACACTGGTATGAGCTGGCGGTGCCCCCGCTGAGGAGCAGGACTCAGCCCTCGCCCTCCATTAATATCACCGCCACTTCACAGAAACCGGGGTCAGGAAGACCCAAGATCAGGCGGCGAGGCAGTGACCCAGCCATCGGTCCCTCCAGGCCTGGAAGGAAGCCTCGGGAAGCCTGAGGCTCTTGCTATCACCAAGGCTGCACGGCTCTCCCCCAGCGCTTCAATCTCGGCAACTCGGGGCACCCCAAGGGCCCAGGGGCCAGATCCGAGCCCAGGGACTGTTTCCCAGGGTTAACCTCCTCTCCCTCCAGCATTAGGGCTTGCCCGGCCGGGGGCAGGGACACGTCACAGTCTGGCACGCTGCCCCGCCCCGCCTCACACAGGGACCTAAATGCTCTACCTCAGCGTGGCACAACTTGCAAGGTATGTGCCACAAGAGTGTTTAAAACATGCAGTGCTTGACTACCTACTCAGGGGCACTAGCATGTTTTCCCTCAGACTGTCAAATTAACAAATGACGAGAGCCAACACAACAACAGCAGTCTGGTATAAATAAATCAAAATTATACCTATTTTGTGTGTGTGTGTGTCAGATCAGCAAAAAAATCTATTCTGGGGGTGCGCAGAGCTGCAGTAGTGCGTGTGCCGCAAGCTGAGAGGGGCTGCAGCTCACTGCTCTACTCACAACCGCTGGGGCGACAGCGTCCCCCACCACCCAGCCGATCTCCCAGCTCTCTGGGGTTCTTCCCCACGCCCCCTCCACTGACCTGCTGCTTCCCAGTGAGACCGTATCGCCCAATGATCTTCCTCATTTCTTCCTTCTCCTTGATCTCCGGATAGCACTTCATCATGTACTCCAAAGGCGAGAGGTCCAGGTCCAGCTGCTCTTGTA